GGTCTGGGTCAGGTTTGGGTGGAGTTTGCTTCAATCCCTAGTTTTCACATCATGACTTTTTGGCCTCAGTCACATCTTTAGATCTGCTTTTCTCGGCCAATCAGCTCTCAGCCAATCAGCTCTCAGCCAATCAGCTCTCAGCCCAGAGCCCTCTTTCTTACACAAAGAAACATGTTGTGGTCTGATATGTTATTTTTAAACAGTGTTGGGTGGTGCACCTGGAGGGAAACCTGCCAGGGCCAGGAGTGGGGCACGGCCTCCTCTCCGTTCACGATGCGGGAGTAGCCGGTGATGACGGGGGGGACGCCGGGGGTTCCACACCCTGAAAACCACATGTTTATCACAGTCACAGATGGTCTCACTGAGGCACAGTTAAGACATCAGAAACACTGGCTCCTGATTGGTCAGTCTATAGCTAACATCTGGATTTACAGAAACATAATCACATCAACACCAGGATCACAGAGAACCATAAACCACAGATAGTTCAGCCCAAACTGGTGAAAGTGACACAAACAGCTGAACTGGAGTTTCTTTGGCACAAACATCACTGTGTTCTGTGTTTCTGGATCCACCTGACGCCAACGTCTGCTGCAGTGTGTTTGTGTTTGTAGTAAAACAAGTGTGTGTCTAAGATAAAACATGTTTGAGATGTAATGTGTTTTAAGCACAACAAAGGCTTAAAGGGACTTTATACAAAACAACAGTTTCTTTGAAAGTGCAGCGTCTAGAGCAGATCGTCTATGAGTGACTCATTGTACAGTCTGACAGCAGTGGGAATGAAAGACCTGTCGTGTGTCACTCTGTCAATGAAGGAGCTCCTCAGCTCCTCCTCAGTCCTGTGCAAGAGGTGTTGTCCATGAGGGAGGTGACTGTGGCTCCTCCTGTCCCTCACCTTCTCCACAGAGTCCAGGGGCCTCCTGTCCCTCACCTCCTCCACAGAGTCCAGGGGCCTCCTGTCCCTCACCTCCTCCACAGAGTCCAGGGGCCTCCTGTCTCCTTGTGTGTGTGTGTGTCTCACCGTAGGCCGTGGCGGCGAAGGCAAGGCAGGACAGTATCCAGAGGAAGGCCATGGTTCAGTCGTGGTGAAGACCCGCTGAGACCGGGGCCTTTATAAAGAGCCCGGAGCTGCGCTGTGATTGGCCGACAGAAGAGTCCAGGAGGGCGAGAGCAGGTCAGGTGCGACCCGTGAGACCGGCCCAGCTGCCAACGAGAAAGAGCCGATGACCACGGACTCAGGACACTCTGTACGACCAGAACGAGCCTCAGCTTTACTCTGTGTGACCAGAACGAGCCTCAGCTTTACTCTGTGTGACCAAAACAAGCCTCAGCTTTACTCTGTGTGACCAGAACGAGCCTCAGCTTTACTCTGAAGGACCTCCAGAAGAACCATCAGCTTCAGGCCTTTATGGTGCAGTGTCTGATGGTACAGAGCCTCCTCAGTGACACATGGTTGTGGTCAGTGCTTTGAGAACCATAAATGATGCACAACTATGTTCAAAACAAAACTCACCACTCATGACTCACTCTCACATTACACACAGAACTAAACATTTACTATTTTCAATACTTATTTACATGATCCTCCAAGACTCGGACCATAACGAGTCCTTCCACTGAGGACCACACTGAGGACCTCCTGCTGAGACCAGACCACACCAGGGCCGTACTCCTAAAGACTGTTAGTGCCAATAGTTGCTCCTCGAGGCCTAATGCAAAGAACATTCTCAGAATCTTGACGTACTCTAAACTTGAAAAAGCTATTCCCAAAGAGACAAAATGGAGGACGGAAAAGACAGAGATGTTCTACAAACTCTGAGACATGAGGCCAAATGTACCTCAAACACTTTTATGTTCTTTCACCGACGGATCCAGAAGCAAACTCTGCTCTCTGTCTCTTATTGGTCAGAAATCACAGCTGTGCCATTTTACCCTGGTTACACCAAAGTGAGTGGAAATGGTAAAAGTTGGCAGAGAAAAAATGACCCTCAATAATCACAACCATCACGTGTTAATCCTGTGTTTTCACATGTTCTACTTGATGATCGGCGGCACGGTGGCAGAGTGGTTAGCCCTCTCGCCTCTCAGCAAGAAGGTCCTGGGTTCGAATCCCGGTCGCAACGGGGCCTTTCTGAGTGGAGTTGGCATGTTCTCCCCGTGTCTGCGTAGGTTTCCTCCAGGTGCTCCGGTTTTCCCCACCACTAAAACATGCACAAAGGGTCTGATTGTAACGAGATCCCGTCATCACCGTGTGGAGAGAATAGAACAATATCTGAACAATTGTAAAGCGCTTTGGGAGACCTGGGTCTGTAAAATGCGCTGTATAAATAAACCTTACTTAAAAGTATAATGTACTTTTATATTATTTACTATGACACAGTCTTCCTAAGATTAGATTCCATGATTAAGTTTGTCCATTTGAGGATCCTTATTTTGCCCATAATCACCAAAAGTATGTTTTCTCCAACTTTTAGGATCCACCAATCACAGCGTCTGAAATTATGACTCATACCTAGCAACAGTGTCGGCCACGCCCCCTCACTGAGATGGGAGTTTTTGTCCTTTCCTTGCTCAGAGTTCTCTCAGAATCTTTCACATACGGCTCCTGAAGTCTCGTTGCTGTGGACGACTTCTTCAATCATGTGAACGGTTGAAGGCCCTAAACTTACCACAGCTCAACTCCTCCTCCAATTGATTGATTGATATCAATTTCTTTGAGCAGGTCAAACAAAACATACAACAAGAAAAAAGAAAAAAAAATCCAAAAGGAAACATTTGAAGAAGAAATATAGACACAGCTCAGAGGGAGTAAACCAAAGTATAATACTCGTGGGAGATTACCCCAATTACATTTTCATATTTACACGGTTTTCAAACAGGTGTGCACTTGTTTTCAACTCCTGGTGGGTTCCATAACCTGAGATTCCGCTCACGTCATGGGGACTGGTTTTACGTGGTGGGGCCCGAACACCGGACCCCACTGGTCCAAGCTTAATAATCAATGGGTAATGCTTTTCTAACGGTCCTTATGCAGTCTCTGTAAAAATATGGAAAGGACCCCTGGAGGTTTACTTTCCTGAAAAAAGTGTGTTATGTGTCGGAACCCTGGTGGTGGGTTGCGGAATATCAAGGAGGGGCACACTGGGGCAATTTCAGTCCAGCAGGCTGGAGCCAATCATGGAGCAGCACAACAGAGGAAATCAGGTGTCAGGCTAGAAAAGGTGCAAGTGTGTGGTTCATTAGGCTGCAGCCAATCACAGAGCAGCACACTGAAGCGCACGCTTACAAACCACTGGTAAGTGCTGACTATAAGTCATGACTTCAAATTGTTATATAGAATTATTACAAATTATTTGTTGTTTGTGCAGCTTAGTCAAGAGTCCCTAATTGATGAAGTCGACTCAGATTCTGACGATTTAACTGTCAAGAAGAAACCTGTAAAAAAGTATGGAAAAAGAAAAATCAAACACTTTTCTTCAAGACTCGGAAAGTGACGAACCAAAGGCAAATAAGATTGTTATCATGCAGCTGCAAAAGATGAAAAATGGGGGGAGAGTTTACAGCAAGAGACACTTCTGCCTCTACTGTTCAATGTCCTGCCACAAAATGTCCCGTCATTTGACTAGAAAACATGGAAATGAAAGTGACGTAGCCAGAGCATTGGCTCTACCTGTGAAATCTAAAGCACGTAAACTTCAGTTTGATTTGATCAGGAATAGTGGAAACCGTGAGCACAACTTTGAGGTTTTAAAGGCCGGCATTGGAACTTTAGTCCCAGCTAAACAGCCAAATTGCCCAGTTAAATCCAGTGAGTTTTTGCACTGTATAGACTGTGGGGCATTGCTTAAGCGAAAGTCGCTGTGGAGGCATGTGGCCAGGTGCCGGCTTTCACAGAAAGATGCCCAGGCTAAACCAGGCTAAACCAGGTAGAAGTAGGGTCCAGTCCCTCTGCTCCCTAGCCCAGCCTGTACCGGAGGGCATCAGCAAAAAGCTGTGGTCTTTAATTTGGGCAATGCATCAGGATGAGGTCACGGGTGTTGTCAAAGCAGAAAAGGGGATTCTGAGACTCGGAGAGCACCTGTACTTAAAACACGGGCATGATAAGACTAAGCATGATTACATTAGGCAGAAAATGAGAGAAGTCGGTAGGTTAATTAACGAAGCAAAAACCGCAGGGAAACTGAAAACAATGAAGGATTTCTTTATTCCTTCCAACTTTAACCATGTGATTGATGCAGTCAGGTCTGTGGCTGGATATGATGAGGAAACAAATCAATACAAGACTCCATCCTTGGCCCTCAAACTCGGCCATAGCCTCAGAAAGCTAGCAGATATTCTTGAATGTGACTCAAAAATGGAGCATTGTGTTGATGAACTATTTATTAAAAACCTCCAACGAAGCCGGCTGCTTTTTGAGAAGAGGTGGGACGTCTGTGTTTCTTCTGCTGCCCTACAGACCCTCCGGCAAGCCAAGTGGAACACTCCGGACCTGCTCCCTCTGACTGAGGACGTTAGAGCCATGCATGCACATATTGAGGTATGTCGACCTGAATATGTGCAAACCCTAATAAGTGAGCCAACGTCTAAGCATTGGTCTAAACTGGCAGTTTTGACTCTTTGTGAGGTCATTATTTTCAATCGAAGAAGGGAAGGTGAGGTTTCAAAGATGCCACTGACAGCCTTTACCTTAAGAAGTGAGACTGAGATCCATTCTGACATTGCTCTGGGACTGTCCAAACTTGAGAAAAAGCTGTGTCAGCATTTTCAACGCATTGAAATTAAAGGGAAAAGAAGTGGGAAAGTGCCGGTTCTTTTGACTCCTGAAATGATTGCTTGGATGGAGGTTCTGGTGGAGAACAGAAGGGCCTGTTCCATCTCTGACCATAACCCATACTTCTTCTCCCGCCCGGGCGCAGACACCCACATCAGGGGATCAGACTCCCTACGCCAGGTAGCCAAAGAATGTGGTGCGGTGCATCCAGAGATGCTATCCTCAACCAAACTTAGAAAGCACATAGCTACTATGTCTACAGTTCTCAATATGAAAGAGAATGAGATGGACATACTTGCCAACTTCCTCGGCCATGACATTCGCATCCACAGGCAATATTACAGACTACCAGAGGGGACACTGGAGCTGGCCAAAATCAGCAAAGTGTTGATGGCCATGGAGCAGGGAAGAGTGACGGAATTCGAAGGAAAGAGCCTCGACCAGATACAAATTGAGCCTGAAGGTAATTCTTGATATTATTAAAATATGTATAATTTTTTTCCCCTAAAGGCCACTTGTATTTTTATTTTCTGTGCGACAGAGAGAGCAGTAGAGATCCTCTCACAAACTGACGGGCTAAAAGAAACTTCAAGCGGAGAACCTTCAACCATTCATCCAGATGCACCCCATGGTAGTGGCAGTGCCCCTTCTGGTAAGTGTACCAGGTGGGGGATTACAGCCAGGCTGCTTGGTCCTAACCCTGGGAGTGTATATTGCTAATATATTTTTATTTCTCTCCCTAGAACGTTAGAGAAAGCCATGGTCTGCATCTGAGGTGAAGGCTGTGGAGAAGACCATGACACCTTTCATACAGACTGGAAAGGTCCCTGGGAAGTCTCACTGCCTGGCCTGGCCTGGCCTGGCCTGCATTAATGCCTCACCAGATGACCTTAGACATCGGACATGGAGTGGCATTAAATTCTATGTCAAAAATAGAATCACTGCAATTCGAAAAAAATATCAAAAATAAAATTCTTTTAAAAGAGTTGTTTGGTTTCTATTGACTGTTTTGTATTACTTAAAGTAGTCCCCAGTAAAAAAGATTATGTCTATGGGTCCCATTCTGAACGGCCCTGTCAAAGGGACCCACCAGGTAACAAAAACGTGTGTGTGTGTGCATGTGTGTGCGTGTGCGTGCGTGTGCGTGTGTGTGCGTGGGTATATGCATCCAAGACCAGAATTTTCTCACTTTCCAGAATTATTTAACCCTTTAATGTTCACGCCTTGAAGAAAACAATGTATTGGTTTTCATGTCTAAGATGTCAAAGCACTAATAACAAAGTTTGTATTTATTATCATAGGCCCTGACCAAAGAGGTTGAGATGCAGTTTGACGGTAAAAGTGCCTAGAGATGCCCCAATGAGATGTTTTCAGTTCAATTACTGTACCGCCCTGCTCTCCGGTCTCGACTCCGGTCTCGTCTGGCTGCTGGTCCAGGACGCAGCAGCCAGACGGGAGGAGGGAGCACATCACCCCTGTGTTAGTGTCCTTCCTTTGTCTCTCTGTCCATTTTAGAAAGTATTTATTTTTACGGATCCTTTTAAAGCTTTTTTAGGTCAAAACAAGCTAAATCACTGGAGACCTTCCCCCGCAGCGTTTTAGACCCTCGGGCAGGTCCCCGTCGGTCGTTCCAAGGGCGAGGTTCCGGGCGAGGTTCCGGGCGAAAGGTGATCCAGTCTTCTCTGTCAGTGCTCCTCAGCTTTGGAACCGGCTGTACAAGGCGATGAGGCTAGCACTATCAGAAACCTCTATAAAGGAGCAGTGTACAAATGTGGACAAAAGTGGTACTGCAGCCTCTCCCACTCTCCCTGACTCAGGTTGCCAGATATGCAGACGAATCCAGCTGGGACCATAACAGCTGAATAGACAAGAGTTTTGTCAACAACAAATCTATAACCAACACCTTTTTCACAAAGATAGAAATCCTGGTGCTACTTCCAAACTTCAGAAGTTTTATTGTACTCTTCCACTTTGTCTTTGTTTGTCTTGTTGTTAGCTCTGCTTTGTTTTCCTGTGTCTATTTTTAATTATTATGACTTTTAATTTTCATTGTTTATGCTGACTGTGTGAAAAGGAATCTACAAATACAATACCAATACAATATAATCTACACACACACATACACACACACACACACATACACACACACACACACACACACACACACACACACAGAGACTAGGAGACCATCGTACTGTGTATTATTTAATCTTTATTGTGTTTTGTGTCTCAGATTCAGACTCTTCTGGATCCGCTTCGATGCTTCAGTCCGAGGTCCGGGTCTGGTCTTTGACTTCAGGTCTGGTCTTGAACTTCAGCCGCGAGGGTCTTGGGTTGGGCTTTAGTTTGCCGCGAGGGTCTGGTCCACCCAGTCACGGAGCTCGGTGACGCGGGCGTAGACGGCGGGGGTGGAGGTGGAGCAGCGGCTGCTTCCCCAGGACACGATTCCCACCAGGGTCCAGGCGTTGTCCTTCTCACAGACCAGAGGGCCACCAGAGTCACCCTGGGGAGGCACAAGACACACACTGTACCATGTGGACATACCATGTGGATGGTACCATGTGGACCGGTCTCTGTCCTGTCAGTCCTGGTCTGTCCTGGTTAGTCCTGGTCAGTCCTGGTCAGTCCTGGTCAGTCCCACACACTGACCATGCAGGAGGTGGCTCCGGCTCCTCCAGCGCAGATCATGACTCCTGAGATTTGGCTGCCCCAGTGTTTCTTGCACTGGTCGTTGGAGAGCAGGGGCAGAGCGGCCTGCTGCAGCTTGTTGGGAGTGCTGGGAGCTGAAACAAAACCATCACACGTTTCTACAGCTGGTTCTTTGACCTTTATGGTGTTTGGATGGGTCACCACCAGGGGACGAGAACACAGCATGTCCTTGGGTCTCTGTAACTCACCGTTGTAGCGGGTCAGGCCCCATCCGGAGGTCACACACATGTCTCCAGCGCTGAAGACATCTCCAGCCTCAGCCAGGCACACGGGGGACACGCTGGAGCTCAGGCGCACGGGCGTGGCCAGCTTGATCAGGGCGATGTCATTGTTGATGGTGCGAGGGTTCCACTGGGGGTGAGTGAAGACCTGGGACCAGAGGGAGAGGGGTGAGGTCTGGACCGGTATGTGGTCTGCAGGTGGACTGGACTATGGGAGGTCTACAGAGAGACCATGGACGGGTTCTTACTCTGGCGGGTTTGATCTTCTGGACTTGCTCGTTGGAGCCGTATCCTTTGTCGTGCTCTCCGGCGATCACATAGTGGGTGGTCCTGAGGGAGAGAGGAGAGGTCAGACCAGAAGGAGACCAGAGGGAGACCAGAGGGAGACCAGAGGGAGTCCAGAGGGAGACCAGAGAGAGACCAGAGAGAGACCAGAGAGACCAGAGAGAGACCAGAGAGAGACCTGAGAGAGACCTGAGGGAGACCAGAGAGAGACCAGAGGGAGACCAGTGAGAGAGACCAGAGAGAGACCAGAGAGAGAGACCAGAAAGAGCTGAGAGACAGAGTCTTGATGGTCCAGACCTGACGTTGCAGTGAGCAGCGGTCACCACCCAGTTCTCGTTGATGAGGGAACCACCACAGAAGTGGAAGCCGTTGGATTGCTGCAAACACACACTTTATACTTTACACACTTTACACACACTATACACACACACACACACACACACACACACACACTATACTACAATAGTTTAAAGTAAATATACTTTCCCTGAGTCCTGGACCTGGTCTCAGACCTGGTCTCAGACCCAGGTCCAGTCCGACAGAAGGAGGTGGTAATAAGGACCCTTTGTCTCATGTTTGGTTCCAGTTTAAAAGTGACATGTTACAGAGTGAGTTCAGCAGCACCTGGAGGGAAACCTGCCAGGGCCAGGAGTGGGGCACAGCCTCCTCTCCGTTCACGATGCGGGCGTAACCGGAAACCTGGGGGGTGATAGCCGGGGTCCCACAGCCTGCAACACACATACATACAGGTCTAAACAAGGTCTAAAGGAGGTCTAAACCAGGTGTAAACCAGGTCTAAAGGAGGTCTAAAGCAGGTTTAAAGGAGGTTAGGGTTAGGGTTAGGGTTAGCAGGTCAAACGGAGGTCTAAAGGAGGTCTAAACCAGGCCTCCTCTCTGACAATGTTTAAAACCAGGTTAAAAACAGTTCTGTTTAGCTGTGCTACAACTGAGGGATTTTATATTTTTATCTTTCGTTTTGATGTTCTGTGATTATTTATGATTTTAATGCTTTCTTATTTTGTTCAGCACTTTGAGTTGCCTTGTGTACAAATTGTGCTATATAAATAAACTTGCCTTTCCTTGCCTTGTCTAAAGCAGGTCTAAAGGAGGTTAGGGTTAGGTTTAGCAGGTCAAACCGATGTCTAAAGGAGGTCTAAACCAGGTCTAAAGGAAGTCTAAAGGAGGACTAAAGCAGGTCTTCACCAGGTCCAAAGGAGGTCTAAACCATGTCTAAAGCAGGTCTAAGGGAGGTCTAAAGGAGGTCTAAAGGAGGTCTAAAGCAGATCTAAAGTAGGTTTAAAGGAGGTCTAAAGCAGGTCTAAACCAGGTCTAAAGGAGGCCTAAAGCAGGTCTAACCCAGGTCTAAAGGAGGTCTAAAGGGGGTCTAACCATGTCTAACCCATGTCTAACCATGTCTAACCCATGTCTAACCCAGGTCTAGCCCAGGTCTAACTAGGTCTAACCCCTCTCACCGTAGGCGGCGCTGACGAAGGCGAGGCAGGACACGATCCAGAGGAAGGCCATTGTGACGATGTGGAGCACCATGGACCAGACTCCATTTATCCTCCTGGACCATCCGCTCTGGTCCAATCAGAGGAGGCCGAGCCCGGGAGCCCCCCAGTCCTCGTCCAATCAGAGGAGGCCGTGCTGTCTCTACAGGTGTTTATCACAGAACAGCTCCCATCGGCTCAGGCAGCTGCAGCGCTCACAGACACTCTCCAAGAGGGACACTCCAAGTCCCTGAGTCAGCAGGAAATGCACTTACTCTACATGCACCAACAGTGTCTTCATCATCATCATCTTCATCTTCTTCATCTTCATCATTATCACCTTCATCATCATCGTCATTAATATCATCACCTTCATCATCTTCTTCTTCATCATCTTCATAATTAATATCAAAACATCTGGCGGAATCTGTTCCAAGTCAAACTTCATTGTCCCGGTTGGAAAATGTATTCTCTGCATTTGACCCATTCTGAAGGGACCAAAGAGAGACCAGAGAGAGAGACCAGAGAGAGACCAGAGAGAGAGAGACCTGAGAGACAGAGACTAGAGGGAGAGACCAGAGGGAGAGACTAGAGAGAGACTAGAAGGAGAGACCAGAGAGAGAGGCCAGAGAGAGGCCAGAGAGAGACTAGAGAGAGACTAGAGAGAGACTAGAGAGAGACTAGAGAGAGACTAGAGACTAGAGAGAGAGAGACCAGAGAGAGACTAGAGAGAGACTAGAGACTAGAGAGAGACCAGAGAGAGACTTCTTTGCTAAGTTTTCTCGAGTTTGGTTTGTTATGGTAAGTATATGTATGGTAAGGTATGGTAAGGTATGGTATGGTAAGGTATAGTTTGGGATGGTAAGGCATGGTATGGTATGGTATGGTTTGGTTTGGTATGGTATGTACTTTATTTGGACTGGGACAGTGCACAGTAAACATGAACACAAAGCAGAGATGTTTTGTAGCAGGTCTTAGCACAGATGCTAGTTTCCAGCTGTAGTCCCTGAGCTGAAGCTACAGATTCATCTAAACGGATTCTAATGTAGATAAATACATGACTGTCTTACACTTACAGACTTTAAATAACATTATTTACAAAACATTTAATTTAAGATAAAAATACAATTCCCCTATTTCCACCCAAATAGTCCTCACATTCACTCACTCACTACAAACTTTGGCAAACCTGTTTTTTTAGTAGCCAATTCTTATCCAAACAAGAACATGTTTTAAATGTATGTTCTCCCATGTCTGCATAGGTTTCCTCCAGGTGCTCCAGTTTACTCTACCACTAAAAACATGTACAATAGGTCTAAATGTAATGAGTGAGTGAATAGATGGTGTTTGGTCGGAGGCTTTGATGGGCCCGTCATCACCGCGTGGAGAGAATGGAAGATTAACTCTGAACCTAAAGCATTTTGGCTGACCTTGGTCTGTAAAGATGCGCTCTATAAATAAACATTACTTACGTTCTAAAACGGGAAATTACAAAGCAAATAGATTAGTTATTATTTTTAAACTAAATGCTGTCAAATGGACTGCTTTGGGAGTTCTAGGGGTAATTAACAGTAAAGTACAATTTATTTTATTATTTTGTGAAATATGTAATCTACGGAAGCTCAGTTTATTATATTTCTCATTAATAAAAGCTCCGAACGATGCGCTCCTGAGTCCCTGTTTGAGTGAATAGGCAGACATCACTAGTCGATCCCAACAACAGCTAAGCCGAGCGCAGAGCCATCGAGCACAGAGCTGTCATCTCCCAGCTCCCAGCCGACACAGGTGACGTCTGACGGGGCTTGAGAGCTCCGCGGACACCCGGGGGGACACACCATGTTCGAGTCCCTGGTCAGCGACCTCCTGAACCGCTTCATTGGGGACTATGTGGAGAACCTGGACAAGTCTCAGCTGAAGATTGGGATCTGGGGAGGTGAGAGCAGCTAGCATACAGCGTTAGCCACATCACGGCTAACGGCGCCAGACTCCGTAAGGAAACGCGGAGATCAGAAACTATGCAGGTGTAATGTCAACACTCAGCCCTTGGCAAACACAGGCTCCCAGTGGATTCGAACCCGCCGTGACTGCACTACACTTCGGCTTGCTCTACATGACAACTCGCTTTTTAGTGGCCACAAAAGTGAAAGCTTAATCTGCCGTAATGGCGCTTCCATGTCAAAACAATGGCGCGTCTCTCACGCTTCTGCACGAACTGTCAATGCTCTTATCACGCAGGGCCATTGTATTATTCATGTTTTTAAATACCCGAATTGTTGTGCGTGGCCAACAGTATTCAGTGCACTTGGATTAGATGGAAAGGATGATCTAGGCACACTGCTGAAAGACTGGAAGTGAAATTCAATGTTTATCCAGTTTGGTTGTTGCAAGGCTGTGAGGTCAGCTCGGGAATCCCCAACGTTTGGTCTATTTACAAGGAATTTAATTAGCAATATTAAGTTTATTCTGGAGTTAATTTCCGTGTGTGGCACCAAGCATAAATCCTTGTTAATGATTACTTGTTACAGTTGTTTGTACATGGATTATTTGGGATTCAGCCATGTTTGATCCACGCCTTGAGCACTTTTACAGACCTTTTTTTTACAGACATCACATGATTTATTTGGCTTTAAACTCTGATCACTCATTCTTTACATGTGATCAGAGTGAATCTGGTCATTTGCTTTGGCTTCCTCGCTCCTGTCATACCAGTTTTAAGCGAGTTATGTTAGTTGGTGAAATGTCATGTGAGACATTAAGGGTGTGTAGTTTCTGTGATATTGGACAGAGACGTCTTCATCAAACACAAAACATGAATCAGTGTCGTTTCATAATGCAAGTTCTGAAATGACTGGTTTGCATGAGACACACACAGGGACGCACACAGAGAGACACACACACAGAGAGACACACACAGGGATGGACACAGAGAGACACACACACAGAGAGACACACACAGGGATGGACACAGAGAGACACACACAGAGAGACGCGCACAGAGAGACACACACAGGGATGGACACAGAGAGACGTGCACAGAGAGACACACACAGGGATGGACACAGAGATCCGCACACAGAGAGACGCGCACACAGACGCACAGAGAGACGCGCACACACACACACAGAGAGACGCACACACACAGAGAGACGCGCACACACACACACAGAGAGACGCGCACACACACACAGAGAGACGCGCACACACAGAGAGACGCGCACACACACAGAGAGACGCACACACACAGAGAGAGGCACACACACAGAGAGAGGCACACACACAGAGAGAGGCACACACACAGAGAGACGCACACACACAGAGAGAGGCACACACACAGAGAAAAGCACACACACAGAGAGAGGCACACACACAGAGAAAAGCACACACACACAGAGAGAGGCACACACACAGAGAGAGGCACACACACAGAGAGAGGCACACACACAGAGAGACGCACACACACAGAGAGAGGCACACACACAGAGAAAAGCACACACACACAGAGAGACGCACACACACAGAGAGAGGCACACACACAGAGAAAAGCACACACACACAGAGAGGCACACACACAGAGAGAGGCACACACAGAGAGACGCGCACAGAGAGACACACACAGGGATGGACACAGAGAGACGTGCACAGAGAGGCACACACACAGAGAGAGGCACACACACAGAGAGAGGCACACACACAGAGAGAGGCACACACACAGAGAGAGGCACACACACAGAGAGACGCACACACACAGAGAGAGGCACACACACAGAGAAAAGCACACACACACAGAGAGACGCACACACACAGAGAGAGGCACACACACAGAGAAAAGCACACACACACAGAGAGGCACACACACAGAGAGAGGCACACACAGAGAGACGCGCACAGAGAGACACACACAGGGATGGACACAGAGAGACGTGCACAGAGAGGCACACACACAGAGAGAGGCACACACACAGAGAGAGGCACACACACAGAGAGAGGCACACACACAGAGAGAGGCACACACACAGAGAGAGGCACACACACAGAGAGAGGCACACACACACAGAGAGACACACACACACACAGAGACACATGCACACACAAACACACACACAGTCTATTTCAGTGTGGTTAGAGAGTGGTTTCCATTTCACCATTTGTCTTGTTGAACAAATAAGGAAGTACAAAGCAGTGTCACAGTAATCAGCGTGAGTATTGCAGTAGTAGCAGTACTAGAAGCAGCAGTATTATTAACAATCGGCTTTATACAACGCTTCTCTCAAAGATGTCATTATTTTTTCACGGTTTTGAAATCTTTCTTTGCTTTTGTTATCACTGGGTTTTAGGAACTTTTACATCCAACTGCATCTCATCAGAAACAAACTAGGGGTTTAAAAAAGACATAGAAACAAATGATCTGTTTTATTAGTGTCCTACATCTTAGACAATCACACTATGGCCAGTATTAGCAGCAGTAGTATTAGCAGCAGTAGTATTATCAGCAGTAGTATTATCAGTAGTATTAGCAGCAGTAGTATTAGCAGTAGTATTAGCAGCAGTAGTATTAGCAGCAGCAGTATTAGCAGCAGCAGTATTAGCAGCAGTAGTATTAGTAGCAGTAGTATTAGCAGCAGTAGTATTAGCAGCAGTAGTATTAGCAGTAGTATTAGCAGCAGTAGTATTAGCAGCAGTAGTATTAGCAGCAGTATTAGCAGCAGTAGTATTAGCAGCAGCAGTATTAGCAGCAGCAGTATTAGCAGCAGTAGTATTAGTAGCAGTAGTATTAGCAGCAGTAGTATTAGCAGCAGTAGTATTAGCAGCAGTAGTATTAGCAGTAGTATTAGCAGCAGTAGTATTAGCAGCAGTAGTATTAGCAGCAGTAGTATTAGCAGCAGTAGTATTAGCAGCAGCAGTATTAGCAGCAGTAGTATTAGCAGCAGTAGTATTAGCAGCAGTAGTATTAGCAGCAGTAGTATTAGCAGTAGTATTAGCAGCAGTAGTATTAGCAGCAGTAGTATTAGCAGCAGTAGTATTAGCAGCAGCAGTATTAGCAGCAGTAGTATTAGCAGCAGTAGTATTAGTAGCAGTAGTATTAGCAGTAGTATTAGCAGCAGTAGTATTAGCAGTAGTATTAGCAGTAGTATTAGCAGCAGGACTGTGAGAGAATAGTATTGCGTTGACACATTACCATATTTGTTTCGTCATAATTTAGTTGCCTCACTTGTATACAGTAGAGTTTTCTACTTCCGGGTGGATCATCAAGACTATTGGTCCTCCCAACTGTCAATCATTCTGGGGATACGTCAAATAAGACCAGAGAGTTTTGTTCAAAATGTGGAGAGAGCGGTTCTTTCCTAAAATGTGAGAAAATCCTCCTATATATCGTTTAACTTTCATTTTAAAAGCAGCATTTAAACACACACATCAAACAAAACAATGGATCGAAGCGGTCTTTACTAAAGCCGGGGTCTGTATTTTCATGTCATAGAATGGATCACATTGTTTTGTTGAAACCCCGGAGAGCTGAGATTCTGTCGTCTCAGGCTGAGTTTACACGGAGACAATGTGGCAGTAAAACGGTATAGTTGGATGTCGGTTTCTACCAACCGTTCATACGAAGACTGTGTTCCAGGTGAAAACGTAAGTGTTCAGATCCAGCCTCAGAGTGGGACAGCTCAGATACACTGCACAGGGGGCTCTTTCACACCCGCGAGAGGGAGAAAGGAGAAATCCCCCTTTGCTCTGACCCCCGCCTCCTGCTGCTCCCGCACGTAAATTTGGACATGTGCAGTAGCGGAGAACAAACATAAACAACAATGGCGGCGGTCACACTAACTAGCTTCGTGGGCTTCCAGCGCGGCACAGAAGATAATTCTACTCCTTCGTTCGTCCAAACGAGACCACGCAAAGCTCTAGGTTCAGTTCCCATTTTCACAGCTGCTGTTAAAATGCAGAATGATGTTGGTACGTTCTGAGGGTCTGGCACAGGAAGTGAGTACACTGCCGAGGGGGGGGCTGGGCACGGGGCTGGGGGTCGTGTGAGTGTTGTAAAGTTTCTCTGCCCCCTACTGGCCGGGCGCTAGAACTACATTGTTTTTCAACCTCATGTGAACGCTGAGAAATTTACATTAGGAGCCTGGTCGTTTCTGTTAATAGCGAACTATCTGAATGACGTCACTAAGACACGCCCCCGCCGCCTGTCAACTCCCGCCCACATGTTTCGGACAAACACTGCCAAAATGAATCAAATACCTCTTGTCACTTTAGACGAAAATGATAAACCAGGGGCAAAATTCCACCATCAAACCATCAGGGATCATAGTGTAGACCAATTAAAACGTTGGCTTGAATGTCGTGGTCTTCCAGTAGAAAGTTTGATTTGATAAAAAGGTAATGGTGAGGATTATGCTAACATTATCTAGTCATTTAAATTGCAATGTTAGCGCCTTCTTTGTTTATTTTGCTCTGATTAACTTCCATTTATCAAGTTGTTTTTTGTACTGTCCATTTCGTAATTAGTTTGATCATTTAGTTAACTACAGTCAGCCGATATTATAATAGATCCATGGGGTCACAACGGGCTACACCACTACTGTCTCTGAGAGAGAAACTATCGGAGCTAGCCACACTCAGTAAACGCAAACGACAATCAATCAACATATTTAAATGTTAATGCTAGAATATTATATTCATACAACACACGTGCACAGAGGTTTTCAGAATTATCTGTTAAGGTTTTCATGACAAAAATACTTTTTTAATGCGACTAAAGCGATCGCTTTTTTAAAGTAGGTGAACTAAAACCTTTGGGAACTATTTTCTTTGCACTCATTAAATAAACCTTTTGGCATGAATAGTGACAGAAGTTTATTTTGTGTGTTCAGTTGGTACAAAGCCGTATAATAAGCGGACCCCGACGCGCTTCGTCTGTGCTTATTTTCCGATAGTCACGAAGTTGAAAAAATCCCTCTCATCTTTCTTCAGGTGTGAGAATTGTATACATTCTGGATTAGGACAAACAATACTAATATGGATTGATGGGGCTAACTACATTCAGAAGAGCTCAGACGGACCTGATACAGCGGTCCAGGTCCAGTCCCAGCTAAACGTAGCTAGGACTGGATCTGGAGGCTCCACAGTTGGTCCAGCGAAGTGTTTTGAAAAAACATGTCCTTTTTAACATTTTCATGAGAGAAATTCTGCTGACCACAAGCACCCACCTCTTGCACTTGTCCTGGTCTGGTCCTGGTCTGGTCCTGGTCTGGTTCGATGGTGTGGTTTAACGAACAGGTTGAATGTTACTGCTTTCATATAGTCCTTTTCAGAGTATCTGAAATCGCTCCCACAAGCACCATAACTGCAGTGTTTTGTTGTCACCATGATTCAATGATTTAGCCCAAATAAATACACACGCTTATGTGGAGAACACAGTAGTACTCAACGGAGTCGGACAGAGTTTGTCCGAAACATGCGCGCATGCGCAGTCATTGGAACTATTTTTAGCACATTTCGGAAACCGGACAGTGCCCTATAGCCTGGAAACGTCTGCGCAGCGTCTCAGTATAAACAGGGCCTCAGTTTTGTACGGATTGTATTTCTCCTCCTTTTCTTTGTGTTTTTCTCACCATTGTTTTTTTCTGTGCAGGAAATGTGGTCCTGGAAAACCTGAAAGTCAAAGAGAACGCTCTGGTGAGTCCGGCCTCAGATCAACAAGAGCAAAGAGGCAACGATGTGGAAAAGAAAGTAAAATGACTGTCCAGGAGTTAGTCTGTCCAGGAGTTAGTCTGTCCAGGAGTTAGTCTGTCCAGGAGTTAGTCTGTCCAGGAGTTAGACTGTCCAGGAGTTAGTCTGTCCAGGAGTTAGTCTGTCCAGGAGTTAGTCTGTCCAGGAGTTAGTCTGTCCAGGAGTTAGTCTGTCCAGGAGTTAGTCTGTCCAGGAGTTAGTCTGTCCAGGAGTTAGTCTGTCCAGGAGTTAGACTGTCCAGGAGTTAGACTGTCCAGGAGTTAGACTGTCCAGGAGTTAGTCTGTCCAGAAGTTAGTCTGTCCAGGAGTTAGTCTGTCCAGGAGTTAGTCTGTCCAGGAGTTAGTCTGTCCAGGAGTTAGTCTATCCAGGAGTTAGGTCTATCCAGGAGTTAGGTCTATCCAGGAGTTAGGTCTATCCAGGAGTTAGGTCTATCCAGGAGTTAGGTCTATCCAGGAGTTAGACCGTCCAGGAGTTAGACCGTCCAGGAGTTAGACCGTCCAGGAGTTAGACCGTCCAGGAGTTAGTCTATCCAGGAGTTAGACTGTCCCCAGACCCACTTTATGATCCAGTGTCTCTTGCTTATGGCAGGGGTGATGTGTTCTAAAAGCGTCGTGTGGAATAGTGACCTGTTCATCAGAGCTGCTCCTTCATTTGATGGTTTTTAAATCTAGTCTAAAAACACATTTTACGCCTTTGCTTTTAACACCAACTGAGTTTTACCATTTTACTTTTTACATGTATGTATGTGTGTGTGTGTGTGTGTGTGTGCATTTTAGGCTGTTTTTTTTTTTTTTTTTTTTTTTGAATCTTTCGTGTTTGTGAAGTTCTTTAAGGAGCTGGTGTTGTAAATGTGCTATAACATCAGTATCGACACCGTAAACACAAAAGGTGCTTTAGTAGTGAAAGAGGAGAGAGCTGGATCTACTGCACCTCCTGCTTTTAGTTCAGTTTTCCTTCTCTTTGGTTCTCAGTGAACTCCAGTCTCAGGTTTCACTGTTGGAACTAAAGAGGGACTTTCTATTGTGCTTTTAGGGAAAGTCTCATGTGAGCTCTCTCTGGTCTCTCTCTGGTCTCTCTGTTCTCTCTCTCTGGTTTCTCTCTGTTCTCTCTGTTCTCTCTCTCTGGTCTCTCCCTGGTCTCTCTGTTCTCTCTCTCTCTGTTCTCTCTCTCTGGTCTCTCTCTGTTCTCTCTCTCTGGTCTCTCTGTTCTCTCTCCCTGGTCCCTCTGGTCTCTCTCTCTGTTTTCTCTCTCTGGTCTCTCTCTGGTCTCTCTCTGTTCTCTCTCTCTGTTCTCTCTCTCTGGTCTCTCTCTGTTCTCTCTCTCTGTTCTCTCTCTCTGGTCTCTCTCTCTAGTCTCTCTGGTCTCTCTCTGGTCTCTCCCTGGCCTCCCTCTAGTCTCTCCCTCTGGTCTCTCTCTGGTCTCCCTCTGGTCTCTCTCTCTGGTCTCTCCCTGGCCTCCCTCTAGTCTCTCTCTGGTCTCTCTGGTCTCCCTCTGGTCCTGAGTACTCGCGCCTGACTTTAGAAGTCTAAAAGTGGCTGTTTTGACCCTTTTCATTTCCACACCTTCCTTCTCTTTTTAATGTACTGTGATTATTTATGATTTTAGTGAAATCCTGTGTTGTTCAGCACTTTGAGTTGCCTTGTCTTTGAATTGTGATATAAAAATAAACTTGTCTTTACCAACCCGCCACTCACTTTGACCCGTGATTCTGTGGTTCTGATCCGGTGTTTTCTGTCTTTCAGAGTGAGTTTGATGTTCCCTTCAAAGTGAAAGCCGGACAGCTGGGTGAGTTTTTAAAGACAAACTTATCTCATTCATATGTTTTCAGTGTTCTTCCTTCTCAAAGGTCGTAGACCGAGCAGCCTCTTGATCATGACTCTTCCCCTTCAGGAAAACTGACCCTGAAGATCCCATGGAAGAACCTGTACAGCGAACCAGTGGTGGCCACGCTGGAGGGACTCTACCTGCTGGTGGTCCCTGGATCAAGTGAGTCATGTACACATGTGCTCTCTGGTCTGGCTCTCTGGTCTGGCTCTCTGGTCTCTCTCTCTCTGGTCTGGCTCTCTGGTCTGGCTTTCTGGTCTGGCTCTCTCTAGTCTGGCTCTCTGGTCTGGCTCTCTAGTCTGGCTCTCTGGTCTGGCTCTCTCTCTGGTCTGGCTCTCTCTCTGGTCTGGCTCTCTCTCTGGTCTGGCTCTCTCTGGTCTCACTCTCTGGTCTGGCTCTCTGGTCTGGCTCTCTGGTCTGACTCTCTCTGGTCTGGCTCTCTCTCTGGTCTGGCTCTCTGGTCTGACTCTCTCTGGTCTGGCTCTCTCTGGTCTGACTCTCTCTGGTCTGGCTCTCTGGTCTGGCTCTCTGGTCTGACTCTCTCTGGTCTGGCTCTCTCTGGTCTGACTCTCTCTGGTCTGACTCTCTCTGGTCTGGCTCTCTCTGGTCTGGCTCTCTCTGGTCTGACTCTCTCTGGTCTGACTCTCTCTGGTCTGACTCTCTCTGGTCTGACTCTCTCTGGTCTGACTCTCTCTGGTCTGACTCTCTCTGGTCTGGCTCTCTGGTCTGGCTCTCTCTGGTCTGACTCTCTCTGGTCTGGCTCTCTGGTCTGGCTCTCTGGTCTGACTCTCTCTGGTCTGGCTCTCTCTGGTCTGGCTCTCTGGTCTGACTCTCTCTGGTCTGGCTCTCTCTGGTCTGACTCTCTCTGGTCTGGCTCTCTCTGGTCTGACTCTCTCTGGTCTGACTCTCTCTGGTCTGGCTCTCTCTGGTCTGGCTCTCTCTGGTCTGGCTCTCTCTGGTCTGGCTCTCTCTGGTCTGACTCTCTCTGGTCTGGCTCTCTGGTCTGGCTCTCTCTCTGGTCTGACTCTCTCTGGTCTGGCTCTCTGGTCTGACTCTCTCTGGTCTGGCTCTCTGGTCTGACTCTCTCTGGTCTGGCTCTCTCTCTGGTCTGACTCTCTCTGGTCTGGCTCTCTCTGGTCTGGCTCTCTCTCTGGTCTGACTCTCTCTGGTCTGGCTCTCTCTGGTCTGGCTCTCTCTCTGGTCTGACTCTCTCTGGTCTGACTCTCTCTGGTCTGACTCTCTCTGGTCTGGCTCTCTCTCTGGTCTGGCTCTCTGGTCTGGCTCTCTCTGGTCTGGCTCTCTGGTCTGACTCTCTCTGGTCTGACTCTCTCTGGTCTGACTCTCTCTGGTCTGGCTCTCTGGTCTGACTCTCTCTGGTCTGGCTCTCTGGTCTGGCTCTGTCTGGTCTGGCTCTGTCTGGTCTCGCTCTGTCTGGTCTCGCTCTCATGCAGCAGGATTTGGTGAACACAAGGGCCGTCCATCGCTGCTTGCGGGCATATTTGAAGTGGACAAATCTACAGCAGTCCATGAGTCCTCACAAAACCTGGTTCTGGTCTCGGTCCTCTGTGAGAGAGTTTAGAGTTCTACTGTATGTTTCAGCTGAGTCCGGTCCAAGCAGCTGCCCCTACGGTAAGATCTCAGGTCCCGGGTCTGGTCTGTGTGGACTCTGGTCTGTGGCCTCTGGTCTGTGGACTCTGGTCTCTGGTCTGTGACTCTGGTCTGTGGACTCTGGTCTGTGGACTCTGGTCTGTGGACTCTGGTCTGTGGACTCTGGTCTGTGGACTCTGGTCTGTGGACTCTGGTCTGTGGCCTCTGGTCTGTGGACTCTGGTCTGTGGCCTCTGGTCTGTGGCCTCTGGTCTGTGGCCTCTGGTCTGTGGACTCTGGTCTGTGGACTCTGGTCTGTGGACTCTGGTCTGTGAACTCTGGTCTGTGGACTCTGATCTGTGGACTCTGGTCTGTGAACTCTGGTCTGTGGACTCTGGTCTGTGGACTCTGGTCTGTGAACTCTGGTCTGTGGACTCTGGTCTGTGGACTCTGGTCTGTGGACTCTGGTCTGTGGACTCTGGTCTGTGGACTCTGGTCTGTGGCCTCTGGTCTGTGGACTCTGGTCTGTGGACTCTGGTCTGTGGACTCTGGTCTGTGGCCTCTGGTCTGTGGCCTCTGGTCTGTGGCCTCTGGTCTGTGGACTCTGGTCTGTGGACTCTGGTCTGTGGACTCTGGTCTGTGGACTCTGGTCTGTGGACTCTGGTCTGTGGACTCTGGTCTGTGAACTCTGGTCTGTGGACTCTGGTCTGTGGCCTCTGGTCTGTGGCCTCTGGTCTGTGGACTCTGGTCTGTGGACTCTGGTCTGTGGCCTCTGGTCTGTGGCCTCTGGTCTGTGGCCTCTGGTCTGTGGCCTCTGGTCTGTGGACTCTGGTCTGTGGCCTCTGGTCTGTGGACTCTGGTCTGTGGACTCTGGTCTGTGGACTCTGGTCTGTGGCCTCTGGTCTGTGGCCTCTGGTCTGTGGCCTCTGGTCTGTGGACTCTGGTCTGTGGACTCTGGTCTGTGGACTCTGGTCTGTGGACTCTGGTCTGTGGACTCTGGTCTGTGGACTCTGGTCTGTGGCCTCTGGTCTGTGGCCTCTGGTCTGTGGACTCTGGTCTGTGGACTCTGGTCTGTGAACTCTGGTCTGTGGACTCTGGTCTGTGGACTCTGGTCTGTGGCCTCTGGTCTGTGGACTCTGGTCTGTGGACTCTGGTCTGTGGCCTCTGGTCTGTGGACTCTGGTCTGTGGACTCTGGTCTGTGAACTCTGGTCTGTGGACTCTGGTCTGTGGACTCTGGTCTGTGGCCTCTGGTCTGTGGCCTCTGGTCTGTGGACTCTGGTCTGTGGACTCTGGTCTGTGGAACTCTGGTCTGTGGACTCTGGTCTGTGGCCTCTGGTCTGTGGACTCTGGTCTGTGGACTCTGGTCTGTGGACTCTGGTCTGTGGCCTCTGGTCTGTGGCCTCTGGTCTGTGGACTCTGGTCTGTGGACTCTGGTCTGTGGACTCTGGTCTGTGGACTCTGGTCTGTGGACTCTGGTCTGTGGACTCTGGTCTGTGGCCTCTGGTCTGTGGCCTCTGGTCTGTGGACTCTGGTCTGTGGACTCTGGTCTGTGGACTCTGGTCTGTGGACTCTGGTCTGTGGACTGGTCTGTGGACTCTGGTCTGTGGACTCTGGTCTGTGGACTCTGGTCTGTGGACTCTGGTCTGTGGACTCTGGTCTGTGGCTCTGGTCTGTGGACTCTGGTCTGTGGACTCTGGTCTGTGGACTCTGGTCTGTGGACTCTGGTCTGTGGACTCTGGTCTGTGGACTCTGGTCTGTGGACTCTGGTCTGTGGCCTCTGGTCTGTGGCCTCTGGTCTGTGGACTCTGGTCTGTGGACTCTGGTCTGTGGACTCTGGTCTGTGGACTCTGGTCTGTGGACTCTGGTCTGTGGACTCTGGTCTGTGGACTCTGGTCTGTGGACTCTGGTCTGTGGACTCTGGTCTGTGGCCTCTGGTCTGTGGCCTCTGGTCTGTGGACTCTGGTCTGTGGACTCTGGTCTGTGGACTCTGGTCTGTGGACTCTGGTCTGTGGCCTCTGTCGTGGACTCTGGTCTGTGGACTCTGGTCTGTGGACTCTGGTCTGTGGACTCTGGTCTGTGGCCTCTGGTCTGTGGACTCTGGTCTGTGGACTCTGGTCTGTGGACTCTGGTCTGTGGACTCTGGTCTGTGGCCTCTGGTCTGTGGACTCTGGTCTGTGGACTCTGGTCTGTGGACTCTGGTCTGTGGACTCTGGTCTGTGGCCTCTGGTCTGTGGACTCTGGTCTGTGGACTCTGGTCTGTGGACTCTGGTCTGTGGACTCTGGTCTGTGGACTCTGGTCTGTGGACTCTGGTCTGTGGACTCTGGTCTGTGGCCTCTGGTCTGTGGACTCTGGTCTGTGGACTCTGGTCTGTGGACTCTGGTCTGTGGACTCTGGTCTGTGGACTCTGGTCTGTGGACTCTGGTCTGTGGCCTCTGGTCTGTGGACTCTGGTCTGTGGACTCTGGTCTGTGGACTCTGGTCTGTGGACTCTGGTCTGTGGACTCTGGTCTGTGGACTCTGGTCTGTGGCCTCTGGTCTGTGGACTCTGGTCTGTGGACTCTGGTCTGTGGACTCTGGTCTGTGGACTCTGGTCTGTGGACTCTGGTCTGTGGAACTCTGGTCTGTGGACTCTGGTCTGTGGGCCTCTGGTCTGTGGCCTCTGGTCTGTGGACTCTGGTCTGTGGACTCTGGTCTGTGGCCTCTGGTCTGTGGCCTCTGGTCTGTGGACTCTGGTCTGTGGACTCTGGTCTGTGGACTCTGGTCTGTGGCCTCTGGTCTGTGGACTCTGGTCTGTGGACTCTGGTCTGTGGACTCTGGTCTGTGGACTCTGGTCTGTGGACCTCTGGTCTGTGGACTCTGGTCTGTGGACTCTGGTCTGTGGACTCTGGTCTGTGACTCTGGTCTGTGGACTCTGGTCTGTGGCCTCTGGTCTGTGGCCTCTGGTCTGTGGCCTCTGGTCTGTGGCCTCTGGTCTGTGGACTCTGGTCTGTGGACTCTGGTCTGTGGCCTCTGGTCTGTGGCCTCTGGTCTGTGGCCTCTGGTCTGTGGACTCTGGTCTGTGGACTCTGGTCTGTGGACTCTGGTCTGTGGACTCTGGTCTGTGGACTCTGGTCTGTGGCCTCTGGTCTGTGGCCTCTGGTCTGTGGACTCTGGTCTGTGGACTCTGGTCTGTGGACTCTGGTCTGTGGCCTCTGGTCTGTGGCCTCTGGTCTGTGGACTCTGGTCTGTGGACTCTGGTCTGTGGACTCTGGTCTGTGGCCTCTGGTCTGTGGCCTCTGGTCTGTGGACTCTGGTCTGTGGACTCTGGTCTGTGGACTCTGGTCTGTGGACTCTGGTCTGTGGACTCTGGTCTGTGGCCTCTGGTCTGTGGACTCTGGTCTGTGGACTCTGGTCTGTGGACTCTGGTCTGTGGCCTCTGGTCTGTGGACTCTGGTCTGTGGTCTGTGTGACTCTGGTCTGTGGACTCTGTCTGTGGACTCTGGTCTGTGGACTCTGGTCTGTGGACTCTGGTCTGTGGACTCTGGTCTGTGGCTCTGGTCTGTGGACTCTGGTCTGTGGACTCTGGTCTGTGGACTCTGGTCTGTGGACTCTGGTCTGTGGACTCTGGTCTGTGGACTCTGGTCTGTGGACTCTGGTCTGTGGCCTCTGGTCTGTGGACTCTGGTCTGTGGACTCTGGTCTGTGGACTCTGGTCTGTGGACTCTGGTCTGTGGACTCTGGTCTGTGGACTCTGGTCTGTGGCCTCTGGTCTGTGGACTCTGGTCTGTGGACTCTGGTCTGTGGACTCTGGTCTGTGGCCTCTGGTCTGTGGCCTCTGGTCTGTGGACTCTGGTCTGTGGACTCTGGTCTGTGGACTCTGGTCTGTGGACTCTGGTCTGTGGACTCTGGTCTGTGGACTCTGGTCTGTGGCCTCTGGTCTGTGGACTCTGGTCTGTGGACTCTGGTCTGTGGACTCTGGTCTGTGGCCTCTGGTCTGTGGCCTCTGGTCTGTGGACTCTGGTCTGTGGACTCTGGTCTGTGGACTCTGGTCTGTGGACTCTGGTCTGTGGCTCTGGTCTGTGTCTGTGGGACTCTGGTCTGTGGACTCTGGTCTGTGGACCTCTGGTCTGTGGACTCTGGTCTGTGGACTCTGGTCTGTGGCCTCTCTGTGGTCTGTGGCTGTGGACTCTGGTCTGTGGACCTCGGTCTGTGGACTCTGGTCTGTGGACTCTGGTCTGTGGACTCTGGTCTGTGGACTCTGGTGTGACTCTGGTCTGTGGACTCTGGTCTGTGGACTCTGGTCTGTGGACTCTGGTCTGTGGACTCTGGTCTGTGGACCTCTGGTCTGTGGCCTGGTCTGTGGACTTGGCTGGTCTGTGGACTCTGGTCTGTGGACTCTCGGTCTGTGGACTCTGGTCTGGACTCTGGCTGGTGACTTCTGTGGACTCTGGTCTGGGACTCTGGTCTGTGGACTCTGGTCTGTGGACTGGTCTGTGGCTCTGGTCTGTGGCCTCTGGTCTGTGGCCTCTGGTCTGTGGACTCTGGTCTGTGGACTCTGGTCTGTGGACTCTGGTCTGTGGACTCTGGTCTGTGGCCTCTGGTCTGTGGACTCTGGTCTGTGGACTCTGGTCTGTGGACTCTGGTCTGTGGACTCTGGTCTGTGGACTCTGGTCTGTGGACTCTGGTCTGTGGACTCTGGTCTGTGGACTCTGGTCTGTGGCCTCTGGTCTGTGGACTCTGGTCTGTGGACTCTGGTCTGTGGACTCTGGTCTGTAACCGCACGTGTCTCACTTTCTGATCTGTCTTCAAATCAGCAACATTATAAATATTTGATTAAAGCTGGGGTTCCTAACTTTCAGACCAGCAGACCCTCTAGTCCTCTGCTTATATCAGTAGTTTTCACATGCATGTACTTTTGGTTTCTGACAGTATGTAGGGGTCGGGGTCTGGGTCGGGGTCTGGGTCTGGGTCTGGGTCTTGGTCTGTGGGTGTTATGACTTTTTCTTGTTTTCACAGCGATAAAATACGACGCAGCGAAGGAAGAAAAGTATCAACAAGAACTGAAGCAGAGAGAACTGCAGAGGATCGAAGAGGCTCTAGAGCTGGCAGCACGCAGAGGTGAGAGACCAGAGAGAGAGAGACCAGAGAGAGAGAGACCAGAGAGAGAGAGACCAGAGAGAGAGAGACCAGAGAGAGAGAGACCAGAGAGAGAGAGACCAGAGAGAGAGAGACCAGAGAGAGAGAGACCAGAGAGAGAGAGACCAGAGAGAGAGAGACCAGAGAGAGACCCCAGAGAGAGAGACCCCAGAGAGAGAGAGACCAGAGAGAGAGAGACCAGAGAGAGAGAGACCAGAGAGAGAGAGACCAGAGAGAGAGAGACCAGAGAGAGAGAGACCAGAGAGAGAGAGACCAGAGAGAGAGAGACCAGAGAGAGAGAGAGAGAGACCAGAGAGAGAGAGAGAGAGACCAGAGAGAGAGAGAGAGACCCCAGAGAGAGAGACCCCAGAGAGAGAGACCCCAGAGAGAGAGAGACCAGAGAGAGAGAGACCAGAGAGAGAGAGACCAGAGAGAGAGACCAGAGAGAGAGACCAGAGAGAGAGAGAGAGACCAGAGAGAGAGAGACCAGAGAGAGAGAGAGACCAGAGAGAGAGAGAGACCAGAGAGAGAGAGACCAGAGAGAGAGAGACCAGAGAGAGAGAGACCAGAGAGAGAGAGACCAGAGAGAGAGAGACCAGAGAGAGAGAGACCAGAGAGAGAGAGACCAGAGAGAGAGAGACCAGAGAGAGACCCCAGAGAGAGAGAGACCAGAGAGAGAGAGACCAGAGAGAGAGAGACCAGAGAGAGAGAGACCAGAGAGAGAGAGACCAGAGAGAGAGAGACCAGAGAGAGAGAGACCAGAGAGAGAGAGACCAGAGAGAGAGAGAGAGAGACCAGAGAGAGAGAGAGAGAGACCAGAGAGAGAGAGAGAGACCAGAGAGAGAGAGAGAGACCAGAGAGAGAGAGACCAGAGAGAGAGAGAGACCAGAGAGAGAGAGAGACCAGAGAGAGAGAGACCAGAGAGAGAGAGACCAGAGAGAGAGACCAGAGAGAGAGACCAGAGAGAGAGACCCCAGAGAGAGAGACCCCAGAGAGAGAGACCCCAGAGAGAGAGAGACCAGAGAGAGAGACCCCAGAGAGAGAGAGACCAGAGAGAGAGAGACCAGAGAGAGAGACCCCAGAGAGAGAGAGACCAGAGAGAGAGACCAGAGAGAGAGACCAGAGAGAGAGACCCCAGAGAGAGAGACCCCAGAGAGAGAGACCCCAGAGAGAGAGAGACCAGAGAGAGAGAGAGAGAGACCAGAGAGAGAGAGAGAGAGACCAGAGAGACACCAGAGAAACCAGTTGAAAAGACCGGACTGAGACCGGACTGAGACTGGACTGAGACCGGGACCTGGCGCTGCTCTGTGTTGGCTGCAGATTAACACTAACTGTCTTTCCTCGAGCTTTCACACTTTCACTTCCTGTTCAAACGTTCTCCTGTTTTCCACGCTGCCTCGTCCTCAGCCTCCCAAACGGGGGACATGCTTTTGGACCTGGAGACCGTGGTTTACAGGGAGCCTCCTCACGGTAACCACGGCAACCCCAGGACCTCCCAGCATCCTTCACTGGCTGTTGTGTGTGTGTGTGTGTGTGTGTTTGTGTGTCCGCTGCTGCTTGTGTGGAGTGTGTGGCATGTTCCCAGACCCTGAGGTCACAGGGGTCTCCAACCTGTGTCTCAGGAGCTACCAGTAGCTCACTAGCCTTTTCAGAACTAGTTGTCCTGTTTCCCTCCATCTCATCAGCGAGAGACCAGAGAGAGAGAGAGTCTTTCTATGCTGTCTCTCTCTCTCTCTATTGTTTCTCTCTTGTCTCTCTCTCTCTCTGGTCTCTCTCTGGTCTGGTCTCTCTCTGGTCTCTCAGCTCTCTTTGGTCTGTCCCTAGTCTCTCTCTGGTCTCTGTCTCTCTCTCTGGTCTCTCTTTGGTCTCTGTCTCTCTCTCTGGTCTCTCTCTGGTCTCTCTTTGGTCTCTCTGGTCTCTCTCTGGTCTCTCAGCTCTGTTTGGTCTGTCTCTAGTCTCTCTCTGGTCTCTGTCTCTCGTCTCTCTCTGGTCTCTGTCTCTCTCTCTAGTCTCTCTCTGGTCTCTCTGGTCTCCCTTTGGTCTCTCTGGGGTCTCTCTGGTCTCTCAGCTCTCTTTGGTCTGTCTCTAGTCTCTCTCTGGTCTCTGTCTCTCTCTTGTCTCTCTCTGGTCTTTGTCTCTCTCTCTGCTCTCTCTCTGGTCTCTCTGGTCTCTCTCTCCTCCTCCTTCCCCAAACCCTGGCTCCTCTCTCTCTCTCTGTGAAACCCTCTTGTTCCTCCTGTAGTGTTGTAGCTGTAGTAGTCTCTGTTCCCCCAAACCTCTGCATGCTCTGGTGTCTGTGGTGTCTGTGGTGTCTGTGGTCTCTGTGGTGTCTGTGGTGTCTGTTCTGTTCTAACCTTGTCTTTCTCATGCTGCCAAAGTCTCTAAAGGACATAAAAAAGTGAAAAAGCATAAAAAGGGTCTAAGGAAACTGAAACGACACGACCAGAACACAGGTGAGTGCCAAAGGAGGTGGAGTCAAAGCTTCTGTTGAGACCAGAGACTGTCACTGGTGGACCATGCTAACCTGCTAGCTTAAAAGTCAGCCCTTTAAGCTCAGCCCTTTAAGCTCAGCCCTTTAAGATCAGCCCTTTAAGCTCAGCCCTTTAAGCTCAGCCCTTTAATCTCAGCCCTTTAAGATCAGCCCTTTAAGCTCAGCCCTTTAAGCTCAGCCCTTTAAGATCAGCCCTTTAAGATCAGCCCTTTAAGCTCAGCCCTTTAAGCTCAGCCCTTTAAGCTCAGCCCTTTAAGCTCAGCCCTTTAAGATCAGCCCTTTAAGCTCAGCCCTTTAAGCTCAGCCCTTTAAGCTCAGCCCTTTAAGCTCAGCCCTTTAAGCTCAGCCCTTTAAGCTCAGCCCTTTAAGCTCAGCCCTTTAAGCTCAGCCCTTTAAGCTCAGCCCTTTAAGCTCAGCCCTTTAAGATCAGCCCTTTAAGCTCAGTGACTGTTTTTGTCTAACTCTTTTTTTGCCTTCAAAACTCTGAGGTTTAGCTGTTGCTTATCTGTGGTCTTACACAAGCCAGATCCCGTCAGACTTCTGAAGCTAAGCAGGACAGGGCCTGGTTAGTACTGTGATGGGAGACCTCTGGGAACAGCAGGTGCCACAGTGGGGCGGCTGCGGCTGTAAAGTGCCAAACTGTGGTTGTGTCCTTGGGCAAGACACTTCCCCCACATTAGAATGAGTCTGGTGTGTGTGTGAATGGTTGGGGGTGGTGGGAGGGGCCGATGGCACAGACTGGTTCTCGCCTCTTGGTAATTGGCTCCAGCTATCTTATTGGCTCTGTCTGCAGTATGCCTGACACTATGGTCCACTCCTTTACAGACAAATCCTCGGAGGAGAAGAAGGACTCGTTTGTGGAGAAGTTGGCGACTCAAGTGATCAAGAACCTGCAGGTGAAGATCAGCAGCATCCACCTGCGCTACGAGGACGATGTAAGAACACACACAGACACACACACACACACACACACACACACACACAGGCACACGCATGCACGCTCACACACACGTTGTATGTTAGTATTATATTATTCTTGTGGTCTCTTTATTTTATTTTTATTTTTTTTATTTTTAATTCAGACACACAAAGGGTCCATATAAAACAAACACAACAATAAAAGAGACAAACAACACACATACATTAGATGTTACAGAATTCTATACAGACAGTTTCTCCAATGTCAGAGGTCAGAGGTCAGAGGTGAGCCTAACACTGCTCTGTACAGTAAACACATGCATTATTACATTTAAAGAGTGCTCAGAACGTTTCATGAACTTATAAATACAATGTCTGATCACAGCAGTCAGAGCGGGGACATTATTAAAAACAAACAGTGAGCCGGCACTAGTCCAACGAGGGACTCTCAGTAAAATTCTAAGTGCATCATTGTATGCAGCCTGCAGCTTCTTAAACTTACTCTTACTGTATCTGCACCACAGGGGGCAGTATAGAGCGGAGTGCAGTAGGCTTTAAACAAAGTTATTTTCACATTATCAGTACACATGCCCCAGGTATTTGGCCTTTTCTACATTCAGAAGCTCCACACCAGACAGATAAAAGGCAGGAAGGTCTCTCTGATCTTGGTCTTTCTCAAGGCTCTCTTTTGTCTCTGCCCGGTCTCTGCCCGGTCTCTCTCTGGTCTCTCTCTGGTCTCTCTCTGGTCTCTCTCTGGTCTCTCTCTGGTCTCTCTCTGGTCTCTCTCTGGTCTCTCTCTGGTCTCTCTCTGGTCTCTCTCTGGTCTCTCTCTGGTCTCTCCCTGGTGTCTCTCTGGTCTCTCTCTGGTCTCTCTCTGGTCTCTTCCTGGTCTCTCTCTGGTCTCTCTCTGGTCTTTGGAAGTTGCTGATGTTACACGAGCGCCTCCTATTGGTCCATGCTGTGTCACATGATCTGTTTTTTTTTCAGGTGTCGGACCCAGAGAGACCCCTGTCCATGGGAGCCACTCTGTCGGAGCTCAGCCTTCAGGTCAAACTCAACACTCAGCACTGACACTACGGCTTTAAAAACATAACATGTGAACGTTTAATAGTTAAAGTTAATTGTATAGCACAATCCAGATCACACGACTAGACTGGAAACATTAAAATCACACCATTAACCAGCAGGAGGCCAGTCCCTGTGCTCCTCAGACTCCCCAGCAGGAGGCCAGTCCCTGTGCTCCTCAGACTCCCCAGCAGGAGGCCAGTCCCTGTGCTCCTCAGACTCCCCAGCAGGAGGCCAGTCCCTGTGCTCCTCAGACTCCCCAGCAGGAGGCCAGTCCCTGTGCTCCTCAGACTCCCCGCATGAGGCCAGTCCCTGTGCTCATCCAAGTCCCAGCAGGAGGCCAGTCCCTGTGCTCCTCAGAAACCATTGATGCAAAAATGCATAATTGGTTCACTTTCTAATGCTTGATTCAAATCATTTGCCTTCTACACTTCAGCCGCAGCTGCAAATATGTCTGGGTCTGGTCCAGGGTCTGGGTCTGGGTCTGGGTCTGGGTCTGGGTCTGGTCATTAGACAGTCAATAACTCATTCTACTGCTTCTCTCTCTCGTGTTCAGACGACAGATGAGAACTGGAGAGCCTGCATCCTGAATGAGGCCGCCAAGATCATCTACAAGGTTAGTGTGTGTGTGTCTGTGTGTGTCAGTGTGTGTGCCTCTGTGTGTGTGTGTGTGTGTGTGTGTCTGTGTGTCTGAGAGAGTGGACTGGATAAGGTATTACTAGCTTAAAGCTGTCTCACCCATGGCCACAGGGGGCGCTGTGGTACTGCAGACTAAATTCACGTGGGCTACTCAGAAAAAAGTTCCATAGAATGTAAACTTAAACAGCTCGACCTCAGCTGACAGAGAACCTGACAGAGAACCTGACAGAGAACCTGACAGAGAACCTGACAGAGAACCTGACAGAGAACCTGACAGAGAACCTGACAGAGAACCTGACAGAGAACCTGACAGAGAACCTGACAGAGAACCTGACAGAGAACCTGACAGAGAACCTGACAGAGAACCTGACAGAGAACCTGACAGAGAACCTGACAGAGAACCTGACAGAGAACCTGACAGAGAACCTGACAGAGAACCTGACAGAGAACCTGACAGAGAACCTGACAGAGAACCTGACAGAGAACCTGACAGAGAACCTGACAGAGAACCTGACAGAGAACCTGACAGAGAACCTGACAGAGAACCTGACAGAGAACCTGACAGAGAACCTACAGCATTCATGAAGAGCAGATTTTGTGGGGATGTTACTGTCCCTTTTCATCCTGAACTTTTTCTCTTCTTAAATCCTTCGGTTTTCCACACTTTACTGCCACAAACTCTGCTCCTTTCCTTCCCGCTCTGACTCCACTGAGCGGTCAGAGCGCGGCCGAGCCCCTTTGTGCACGTACATGAGAGCCATACACGCATATTTGGCGCAAAGCATCATGGGAGATAATCCACTGCGCAGATCCGGGAGAACCAGACGATGCCCAAATACAGGCAAGTTCTGCTAATCTCCCGGGCCCGTGAAGTCCCATGATCTACTGAGCACAAGCCATTCATTTGAATAGGACGCCATTTTGGGTCACCGGGGCTTGGTCTGTGTGTGTGTGTTTGTCTGTGTGAGTCTGAGAGTGTGTCTCTGTGTGAGTCTGAGAGTGTGTCTCTGTGTGAGTCTGAGAGTGTGTTTCTGTGTGAGTCTGAGAGTGTGTCTCTGTGCAGCTGGGCAGCCTGGAGTGTCTGTGCGTCTACTGGAACGTCCCCAGCCTCATGTTCTACAAAGGCTCCTGGGAAGACATCATTGTGAGTTACTCAAACATACCTCTACTTGTTTCTGGTCTCTCTCTGGTCTCTCTCTGGTCTCTCTCTGGTCTCTCTCTCTAGTCTCTCTCTGGTCTCTCTCTGGTCTCTCTCTCTAGTCTCTCTCTGGTCTCTCTCTGGTCTCTCTCTGGTCTCTCTCTGGTCTATCCCACTGGTCTCTCTCTGGTCTCTCTCCCACTGGTCTCTCCCTGGTCTGCCACTGATCTCTCTCCCACTGGTCTCTCTCTCTGGTCTCTCTCTGGTCTCCCTCTGGTCTCCCTCTGGTCTCCCTCTGGTTTCCCTCTGGTCTCCCTCTGGTCTCCCTCTGGTCTCTCTCTGGTCTCTCTCTGGTCTCCCTCTGGTCTCCCTCTGGTCTCTCTCTGGTCTCTCTCTGGTCTCTCTCTGGTCTCTCTCTGGTCTCTCTGGTCTCTCTCTGATCATAAATAACTTTGTTCACTCTTAGGATCTGCTCAAATCTGGGATCAGCACCAAATCAAAGGAGCAGCCTCATTATCAGTACAGTGAGTTTCTGTGGTTCTGTCTCTGTGTGGTTCTGTCTCTGTGTGGTTCTGTCTCTGTGGTTCTGTCTCTGTGGTTCTGTCTTTGTGTGGTTCTGTCTCTGTGTGGTTCTGTCTCTGTGTGGTTCTGTCTCTGTGTGGTTCTGTCTCTGTGTGGTTCTGTCTCTGTGGTTCTGTCTTTGTGTGGTTCTGTCTCTGTGTGGTTCTGTCTCTGTGTGGTTCTGTCTCTGTGGTTCTGTCTCTGTGTGGTTCTGTCTCTGTGTGGTTCTGTCTCTGTGTGGTTCTGTCTCTGTGTGGTTCTGTCTCTGTGGTTCTGTCTCTGTGGTTCTGTCTCTGTGGTTCTGTCTTTGTGTGGTTCTGTCTCTGTGTGGTTCTGTCTCTGTGTGGTTCTGTTTCTGTGTGGTTCTGTCTTTGTGTGGTTCTGTCTCTGTGTGGTTCTGTCTCTGTGTGGTTCTGTCTCTGTTTGTTTGTTTTTATTCAGATCCCCATTAGCTACTGAAAGAGACAGTAGCTATTCTTCCTGGGGTCTATATACTTCATGTCACATAATATAACGTACAAAGGACAAAAATGAATGTACAAAAACAAAATTATATATATACATACACATATATATACACACACCACACATGTACACCATACATACACACATACATATACATACATACACACATACACAAGCACGCACGCACACACACGCACACACAAACAATACAGAAACGTTATAACAAAAATACACAGTAGCCATCTATACACACACAGACAAACACATCCACACGGCAACATTAACAGCAGCAACAAAAATAATTAAATAAAAAAAAAAAAAAAAAAAAAAAAAAGTCTACATTACATTTTAAACATTCAATTATCCAAATAATGTAAATACAACTCAAAAATACAAAAACAAATCAGTACCATTCTTCAGTGAAAAGGAAAACTCTCAATCTTTTATGAAAATCAAGAGCATTCATCCCATCTACCAGAAACTGGGGTAGTGAGTTCCATGCCACCATGGCCCTGTAGTGCAGTGTCCTCTGGGTATGATTGGTGCGACATGCAGGTAAGAGGAAACGTCTGTCCCTGGCCTGTCGAGTGGAATACTGGTGCACATCACTGAAGAAGGTCAATTTAGTAAAGAGTATCTCTGGTGTTTTTGTTATTATCATCTTTCTGATCATATTAACAAGAGAATATTTAATCCTCCCTCTAACATACAGCCAGGACAACTGGTGATGCATCTTACTTATGCTGGTTCTGAAAGAACAGTTCAGAACGAGCCGAGCCGCTTTATTTTGTGCTATTTGAAGTTTGTTTAAATTTGCCTCTGTTGTGTTTGACCAAATTGCAGAACAGTAATCTAGATGTGATAAAACAATTGAATCAACTAATAGTTTACATATTTGGTTTGGTATACAGTTTCGGCTCTGCTTCACTGCAGCCAGACCCCTGCCCATTTTGTTTAATATTTGCTTTATATGACTATTCCAGGTCAACATATGATCTACTGTTACACCCAGCAGCTTGGTCTCAGTGACTTGTTCTATAGATTTACCTTCTATGGTCACATTTATACCAGGGGAATTTTTTAAGTGATGCATTGATCCTAACACCATGCATTTGGTCTTTCCAGGATTAATAACCAATTTATTTTCATTCATCCAATCCTCAATTGATTTCAAATCTTCTTGTATGTTTTCATTTAAATTAGCAAGGTTAGTGTCAGACAGATAAATGGTTGAATCGTCTGCATAAAGGGCAATAGTAGCACGTTTCAAAATACACGGCAATTCATTTGTAAAGATTGAAAATAAAAGCGGCCCAAGACAGCTTCCTTGAGGCACTCCACAACTCAGTGTCTTTTTTCCAGAATAACTGCCGTTAAATAATACAATAAACTCTCTGTTAGTTAAATAACTTTTGACCCACTTGATAGCAGAATTTTCAAAACCATAGCAAGTTAATTTATTCAGTAATAAATCATGATCAAGTAAATCAAACGCTGCACTCAAATCTAGCAATACTGTCCCAATAATGTTTCTTTTTTCCATTTCATGCATCCAATCATCAGTTATTTGAGCTAAGGCTGATGTTGTGGAGTGCCCTTTCTTATAAGCATGCTGATACATCGAGTTTATCCATTTCTACAAAAATATACATTGATCTGATCATAGACTATTTTTTCCATTATTTTGCTCATAATTGGCAAAATACTAATTGGGCGACTGTTCTTTCCAGAAAAGGGCTCTTTGCTGTTTTTAGGTAGAGCCACAATTTTTGCTATTTTCCAATCATTAGGACAAATACACTTTTCTAAACTCAAATTAATTATGTGACAAATAGGCAGAGCAACCACATCATGCACCAGTTTCAGCAGCTTCACATCAATTTCATCAATGCCCGAAGGCTTGAGTTTCATGAGTTTTAGAACATTTTCAACAACGGTCGTACTCACTTTTTCAAACCTAAATTTACACACAATTTACCACCCATTATTACATCTTTGATTGAGGTCCAAGATGAATGGGAATTTGACTTGGGAGTTATGTTGTTACGTAAAACTGTAACTTTATTTATGAAATATTCACTAAGATAATTTGAAATATCAATGGGCTTAGTCAGAAAAGATCCACCCACTTCCAAAAATGTTGGTACAGGCTTGACTTTCCTTCTCATCAGTTCATTTAATGTATTCCATATTTTTTTACCATCTGATTTTATATCAGCGAACTTATTTCCATAATAAGCTTTTCTCTTGGATCTGTTTAATTTGGTCACATAATTCCTCAGCTGCTTGTACTGGTTCCACACTGTGCTGCTGCCTGATGTGGATGCTTCTTCCTTTAGTTCATCTCTTTGCTTCATAATTTCTTTAAGTTCAGGATCTACCCAGGGGGATGCTACATTTCTAACTGTCATTTTTCTCAATGGAGCATGTGTATTAATGATTGGCATGATTAGACTAGTGAAAACCTCCAAAGCTCTATTCGGATCATCCTCTAATGAAACTTGGGACCAGTTCACTTTCATGATTTCTTCCTTAAAATGTATTTCATTGAATGTTTTATAACTCCTTTTGATTATAATTTTCTGCCCTGCTTTAGGGACTTTAGTATTTCTATTTATTATAATTAAATTATGGTCACTAAACCCAACGCAAATTGAAATAGCTTTTGAGCATAGCTCAACTGAATTTGTAAACATTAAATCAATACAAGTGGCTGATTTTGTCCCATCTGTTTTATAAGCCAATCTTGTTGGTTTAATCACTACTTGTGACAAATTACAAGTGTCTGAAATGGACATTAATTTATTTTTCAAAGGACAATCCTTTGTGATCCAATCTATGTTTAAATCTCCTACAAAATAAATTTCCTTATTTAAGTCACAAACTTTGTCTAACATATAACAGATCTGATCTAGATAAACTATGTGAGCATTTGGAGGTCTATAGCAACAGCTAATCAGAAAAGGCCTAATGTGAGGTACCTGCACTTCCAGCCACAGTGCTTCCACTCCAACACAACCCAGATCAGATCGGATCTTCACTGGGATTTGATCTTGCACATAACATCCCACTCCGCCCCCGTGTATGTTTCTGTCAAGCCTATATAAGTTATAACCATTTACATGAACGAGGGAACTATCAATGTTTCCATCCAAATGTGTCTCAGATAAAGCTAGTATATGTAAATTGTAACTCTCTAAAATCCTGCTTATGTCCTGAACCTTATTTCTCAAACTACAGATATTCAGATGGGCAATTTTCAAACCTTTATTTGATAACACGTTATCCCTCACCATAAGAATTTGTATTTGTTTTGAAACTTTTCAACAAAAATAAGATGGAGCTGCAAACTAAACAATGTTGACAAAAAGACAAGACAAACAAACATTCACTCACACACACATACACCATGCACACCCATTTTGCCCTCATAGTGACAAGAAAAAAAAGGCAGTTTTATCAGTCCCGATATTAACATTCTACAGTCTTTTGTGGTAATTTTCCAAAAGAAAACAATTTGTCCATAGCTTAACTAAAGAGACGTGGCTGAGAAAAATAAAGTGGCTGCTATAATACCGTTAAATAATAGTCTTCACATTTTGAGTTCATATACCTGTGCGTAAAGGCAGAGCATTACGCGCGCGATGGTTTCCTCGTGTGGTTCTGTCTCTGTGTGGTTCTGTCTCTGTGGTTCTGTCTCTGTGTGGTTCTGTCTCTGTGTGGTTCTATCTCTGTGTGGTTCTGTCTCTGTGTGGTTCTGTCTCTCTGTGTGGTCCTGTGTGGTTCTGTCTCTGTGTGGTTCTGTCTCTCTGTGTGGTTCTGTCTCTGTGTGATTCTGTCTCTCTGTGTGGTTCTGTCTCGGTGGTTCTGTCTCTGTGTGGTTCTGTCTCTGTGGTTCTGTGTGGTTCTGTCTCGGTGATGTTTTTAACCATAGTTTTTCTTCTGTAGTTTTTAAGCCGATCTTTGCTTCTGCCAAAATGTGCATAAACCCGAACTCTGACCTGGAACTGAAGACGCCCAAAGCCCAACTGCAGCTGGAGGTTCAGAACATTGCCATTGAGATCACCAAGCCCCAGGTGAGAGGGGGAGGAAGGGGGAGAGAGGAGGGGGGCGAGGGGGGAGGAGGGGGGACGGGGCACAGAGGGGAGAGAGGTGGAGTGGAGGAGAGGGGAGGAGGTTCAGAACATTCCCATCGAGAGCACCAAGCCCCAGGTGAGAGGGGGAGGACAGAGGGGAGGAGAGGAAAGGAAAAAGAAAGGAGAAGAGAGGGGTGAGGAGAGGAGAGTAAAGGATAGGAATGGAGAGTGGGGGAGAGAGGAGAGAAGGGGGGAGAGGCTAAACATTCTGTATCTGTATAAATGTTCGTGGGATTTCTCTCTCAGTACCTATCTACACATCTATGTGAGGTTTCTCTCTCAGTACCTAACTACACATGTATGTGAGGTTTCTCTCTCAGTACCTATCTACACATGTATGTGAGGTTTCTCTCTCAGTACCTATCTACACATCTATGTGAGGTTTCTCTCTCAGTACCTAACTACACATGTATGTGAGGTTTCTCTCTCAGTACCTATCTACACATGTATGTGAGGTTTCTCTCTCAGTACCTAACTACACATGTATGTGAGGTTTCTCTCTCAGTACCTAACTACACATGTATGTGGGGTTTCTCTCTCAGTACCTATCTACACATGTATGTGAGGTTTCTCTCTCAGTACCTATCTACACATGTATGTGGGGTTTCTCTCTCAGTACCTAACTACACATGTATGTGGGGTTTCTCTCTCAGTACCTAACTACACATGTATGTGGGGTTTCTCTCTCAGTACCTAACTACACATGTATGTGAGGTTTCTCTCTCAGTACCTAACTACACATGTATGTGGGGTTTCTCTCTCAGTACCTATCTACACATGTATGTGAGGTTTCTCTCTCAGTACCTATCTACACATGTATGTGGGGTTTCTCTCTCAGTACCTAACTACACATGTATGTGGGGTTTCTCTCTCAGTACCTATCTACACATGTATGTGAGGTTTCTCTCTCAGTACCTATCTACACATGTATGTGAGGTTTCTCTCTCAGTACCTATCTACACATGTATGTGAGGTTTCTCTCTCAGTACCTATCTACACATGTATGTGGGGTTTCTCTCTCAGTACCTATCTACACATGTATGTGGGGTTTCTCTCTCAGTACCTAACTACACATGTATGTGGGGTTTCTCTCTCAGTACCTATCTACACATGTATGTGGGATTTCTCTCTCAGTACCTAACTACGCATGTATGTGGGGTTTCTCTCTCAGTACCTAACTACACATGTATGTGGGGTTTCTCTCTCAGTACCTGGCCGTGATAGACGTGCTGGAGTCCATTGATTCGATGGTGAAAAACGCTCCGTATCGGAAGTTCAGGCCCGACGTCCAGGTCCACGGCCACGCTGCAGTCTGGTCAGTGCTGTTCACTCTGTTACTGAAGCTATGACAACAACTGTGAGTGAGAGGAGGAAGTAGAAGATGGAGAGGAGAGGGGGGGAAGAGGAGGGAGGGAAGAGGGGAGTAAGAGGAGAGATAAGGGAGAGTAGAGAGGGGAGGGGAGTGAGAGAAAAGGGATGGGGAAGGTGAGAGAGGGAAGTGAGGAGTAAGAAGAGAGAGGTGGAGAGAAAGAAGGGATGGAGAAGATGAGAGATGGGACGGGGAGAGAAGAAAGAGGGAGGGGTTGTGAGGAGTAAGAGGAGAGATGGGGAGGATGAGAACGGGTAGGGGGAGAGAGGAGTGAGAAGGGAGAGGACAGATGGGAGGAGGAGAGAAGAGAACGGAGTGTGGAGTAATAGGAGAGGGGAGTGAGAGGAGTAAGAGGAGTGATGAGGGAGATAAGGGAGAGAGAGAAGAGATGGGAGGAATAATGTAATGTCAATGAACTCTATGATTGTAATGTTTCTTTTCTTGTTATTTTTGTGCCTTACAAATTATCTGTCCTCTCCTCTCCTCCTCTCCTCCTCGGCAGGTGGAGGTACGCCTTCAGCAGCATCATGGAGGTGCACGTCCGTTGCCGTAGCAACATGTGGTCCTGGTCCAGCATCAAGCAGCACCGAGAAACTCTCAAGATCTACAAGAGAGAGTACAAGAACAAACTGCTGAGCTCAGGGGGCAAGACCAGCCTGGAGACAGAGCAACACGTCCAGGTGAGAGGGGGAGGAGGGAGGAGGAGGGAGGAGGAGGGAGAAGGGAGGATAGAGGGGACAAGAACAAACTGTTGAGCTCAGGAGGCAAGACCAGCCTGGAGACAGAGCAACACGTCCAGGTGAGAGGGGGAGGAGGAGGGAGGAGGAGCAGGGAGGAGGAGGAGGGAGGAGGAGGGAGAAGGGAGGAGAGAAGGGACAAGAACTCAGGAAGCAAGACCAGCCCGGAAACAGAGCAACACTTTCAGATGAGGGGACAGAGGAGGTGTAGAAGGAGGAGGTGGAAGAGGAGTTGGAGAAGGAGGACGAGGTGGAGAAGGAGGAGGTGGCTCTACATACTTTTCTCTGATGGACTTTGTTCCTCAGGATTTGGAGAAAGTCCTGGACGTCTTCAGCATCACTCTGATTCGCCAACAAGCGAAAATGGAGGTGAGTATTGGACCAAAGACTGTACATATTAGGATTGGAACATCACCCCTGACCCCTGACCTCTGACCCCTCACCTCTGACCCTTGACCCCTGACCCCTCACCTCTGCTGCAGGTGATCCGCTCGGGGCAGAAGCTGGTGTCTAAGAAGTCGTCCGGTCAAAAGGCTGCAGGAGGAGGATGGTTTGGAGGCTGGTTTGGGAAAAAGGCCAAAAAGGACGAAAAGGAGCCAGAGGAGAAGGAGGAGAGCGAGGGTGAGTGGAGCAGGGTCCTCCTCACAGCAGCAGGGTCCTCCTCTGATTGGTCGGAGAGTAGGAAACTGCAGCCACTAGGATCAGACCCAGACGTACATGCTGGAGATGATCATGGACCAGAGTTTACACATGGATCAGACCAGGCTAATGCTTCAGAATAATGTATCTGTGTCGACTGCTTTGGTCTGGTGCTGGTCTGGATCTGAAAACCTCATGCTCTGCTTCCAGGTTCTGGTCTGGACGACATCATGACTGTGGAGGAGAAGAAGAAACTCTACACAGCGATTGGATACAGCGGCAGCTCCCACAACCTCAGCCTGCCCAAAGACGTACGGCAGTTTGAGACGCCTCCATTACACACGTGTGAGAGAGAGAGAGAGAGAGAGAGAGGCCAGAGAGAGAGAGAGGCCAGAGAGAGAGAGGCCAGAGAGAGAGAGGCCAGAGAGAGAGAGGCCAGAGTGAGAGAGGCCAGAGTGAGAGAGGCCAGAGTGAGAGAGGCCAGAGTGAGAGAGGCCAGAGTGAGAGAGGCCAGAGTGAGAGAGGCCAGAGTGAGAGAGGCCAGAGTGAGAGAGGCCAGAGTGAGAGAGGCCAGAGTGAGAGAGGCCAGAGTGAGAGAGGCCAGAGTGAGAGAGGCCAGAGTGAGAGAGGCCAGAGTGAGAGAGGCCAGAGTGAGAGAGGCCAGAGAGCGAGAGAAGCCAGAGAGCGAGAGAGAGCCAGAGAGCGAGAGAGGCCAGAGAGCGAGAGAGGCCAGAGAGCGAGAGAGGCCAGAGAGCGAGAGAGGCCAGAGAGCGAGAGAGGCCAGAGAGCGAGAGAGGCCAGAGAGCGAGAGAGGCCAGAGAGCGAGAGAGGCCAGAGAGCGAGAGAGGCCAGAGAGCGAGAGAGGCCAGAGAGCGAGAGAGGCCAGAGAGCGAGAGAGGCCAGAGAGCGAGAGAGGCCAGAGAGCGAGAGAGGCCAGAGAGCGAGAGAGGCCAGAGAGCGAGAGAGGCCAGAGAGCGAGAGAGGCCAGAGAGAGCGAGAGAGGGCCAGAGAGCGAGAGAGGCCAGAGAGCGAGAGAGGCCAGAGAGCGAGCGAGAGAGAGGCCAGAGAGCGAGAGAGGCCAGAGAGCGCGAGAGGCCAGAGAGCGCGAGAGGCCAGAGAGCGCGAGAGGCCAGAGAGCGCGAGAGGCCAGAGAGCGCGAGAGGCCAGAGAGCGCGAGAGGCCAGAGAGCGCGAGAGGCCAGAGAGCGCGAGAGGCCAGAGAGCGCGAGAGGCCAGAGAGCGCGAGAGGCCAGAGAGCGCGAGAGGCCAGAGAGCGCGAGAGGCCAGAGAGCGCGAGAGGCCAGAGAGCGCGAGAGGCCAGAGAGCGCGAGAGGCCAGAGAGCGCGAGAGGCCAGAGAGCGCGAGAGGCCAGAGAGCGCGAGAGGCCAGAGAGCGCGAGAGGCCAGAGAGCGCGAGAGGCCAGAGAGCGCGAGAGGCCAGAGAGCGCGAGAGGCCAGAGAGCGCGAGAGGCCAGAGAGCGCGAGAGGCCAGAGAGCGCGAGAGGCCAGAGAGCGCGAGAGGCCAGAGAGCGCGAGAGGCCAGAGAGCGCGAGAGGCCAGAGAGCGCGAGAGGCCAGAGAGCGCGAGAGGCCAGAGAGCGCGAGAGGCCAGAGAGCGCGAGAGGCCAGAGAGCGCGAGAGGCCAGAGAGCGCGAGAGGCCAGAGAGCGCGAGAGGCCAGAGAGCGCGAGAGGCCAGAGAGCGCGAGAGGCCAGAGAGCGCGAGAGGCCAGAGAGCGCGAGAGGCCAGAGAGCGCGAGAGGCCAGAGAGCGCGAGAGGCCAGAGAGCGCGAGAGGCCAGAGAGCGAGAGAGGCCAGAGAGGCTACTGTTGCCAAATTTGACATCAGTGTGTGGCGTTGTTACTGATTAGCTCTTGGTGACTCGGCCGACGCTAACAACATTAGCCTCATGGAGCCTGTTTCCGTTAGCGTTAGCGCTGATTAGCTTCTTCCACATTTATCCAAACACTACAGTGACGTCAGGTTCAGTCCACTCACATGCTTCTGGTCCTCCGCAGTATGTGGCTGTGGTCCTTCGCTTCCAGCTGCTGAAGACCTCTGTGACCATCAGAGAGAAACCAGATGTCCCAGAGATCCTCAAAGTCCAGATCATCAACCTGAGCACCAAGATCTGCCAAAGACCAGGGGCCCAGGCCATCCGGTAAACACTCTGGTCTCTCTCTGGTCTCTCTGGTCTCTCTCTCTGGTCTCTCTCTGGTCTCTCTGGTCTCTCTCTCTGGTCTCTCTGTGGTCTCTCTGGTCTCTCTCTGATCTCTCTGGTCTCTCTCTCTCTGGTCTTTCTATGGTCCCTCTGTGGTCTCTCTCTGGTCTCTCTCTTGGTACTGATACTCTGACTATCTCTGGTCTCTCTCTTGGTACTGATACTCTGACTCTCTCTCTGGTCTCTCTCTCTGACAGTAAAGATGGCGCCTGTGTCTGGCTGCGCGTCGCTTACCTGTCTGCTCTCTCGTACATTTGCAATCTTTCTTGTGATGTTCCTTGTGTCAACCCTATCAACTACCAGCTATGTTTCCGCCATCATACAGTATGATCGGCACACATTGTTCCGCATTAAGGCTCATATGCAGGACTTTTGCATTACCCGGCACAGATTCTCTGAGTTTTTCCCTCCAAAACTGGAGCGCCATGCGTCACCACCGGAATACCCGTTGCTTACCCGGCGCCGCGGAAGGAGAAGGAAGCGTGGATCCAGGGCTGGGGTCCAAGTCCGGAGGAGAAGGTGGTCATCGCTTGGATCTTCACCCGGGCTGAACGGACCCAAATCCCCCAGGAGTGAGCGGTGCCTGAGGCCGGTTCCGGTCTGCGCGCCAGTTCGGGACGCGGCTTGTGTGTCATCGCTCGTGTGGAGCACCTCCGACCGGCTCTTTCCCACCCGAGCTGTTTACCATCATGCCCCCCGCCAGCGCGTCTTGTGCCCGGTTACCTGCCAGACGGATCATGCCATCCAGCCCGTCCCAGGCCAGCCCGCGTCACGGATGCGCGCCACCAGGATTGCTCTTCTCAACGCGCGCTCTATTGCAAACAAGGCGTTTACACTGAACGACCACTTCACTAAAGAGAACTTGGATTTTATGTTCATAACGGAGACTTGGCAACGGGAGAACGAGCACCTTCATCTGAGAGAACTATGCCCCCCGGACTGCTCCGTGTTTGGGAGTCCTCGCCTCGCGCGCCGTGGAGGCGGACTGGCGCTGGTTTTTCGTGACTCTTTCTGCTGCAGTTTGATGGATGGAGCTTCATACGACTCCTTCGAGCTACAGATGTGCAAGGTTGGACAAACTCTCCCCTTTTACTGTGTCTTAGTTTACCGACCTCCTGGTACTGCGCGCACATTCCTTGATGAATTCTCTGAGTTTTTAACATCCATTATCAAACTAGATCGCGTTTTAGTCCTTGGGGATTTTAATCTCCATATCGACGATCCCTCTTGTGTGATTGCAGCTGAACTGTTAACGACCATGGACTCTTTCAATTTTGTACAGCACGTTTCTGGCCCCACGCACATAAAAGGTCACACGCTAGATTTGGTCTTCTCATGTGGCCTAAACATTGAAAATATGAGTGTTGATGCATTTCATATTAGTGACCACTGTTGCATTTCCTTCACTCTGTCACGCGTCATGATGCCAACTGTCTCCAATGTTGTTACACAAAAACGCATCATTAGTGAGACAACATTTAGTGATTTCTCTGTCCGATTTGACCCTCGCTCCTTTGTTGTTTGTGATGATGTTGATTCGTTTGTGCAAAGTTTCAACAGCCACTGTGTGTCTATTTTGGATTTGGTAGCACCTGTTAAAGATATTTCAGGATCACATAAAAAAGCCCATCCATGGATGAATGATGACATTTGTAGTTTTAGGATAAAATGTCGGAAGACAGAGCGTCTTTGGAAAGCCACCAAATTAGAAGTACATAGACTTCATTTAAAAGACCTGATGCTGGAACTGAATGAAATGATAAAGCAGGCTCGCTCATCTTATTTTTCAAACCTTGTGTCAGGCAATAAGAAAAATCCAAAAATCCTGTTTGACACCATTGAAAATCTTTCTGCACCTTCAGCTCCTCTTGTGCCTGTGTACTCACATGAGGACTGTAATAAATTTTTGTCATTCTTCGTAAACAAAGTTCAAGACATTAGGGCAAACGTGAATCTTCCCCTAACCAGTGTTTGTTCCACTAAGTTGTCCCCGGTGTCATCTTGGTCGTCCTTCTCTCCTGTCAGCTTACAGGATGTGAACACTTTAGTGAATAACATGAAGCCTTCCTCGAGCCCGGCTGACATTGTCCCAACGTCACTATTTTTGAAAATGTTCAGTACTGTTGGCTCCTGTGTGGTTAAAATAATTAACCTCTCTCTTTCATCTGCCTCAGTCCCCAGCTACTTCAAGCATGCTGTGGTAAACCCAATCCTTAAAAAGCCCAATCTGGACCCTTCAGAACCTAAAAACTACAGGCCCATCTCCAAACTTCCTTTTATTTCCAAAATTCTGGAAAAAGTAGTGGCATGCCAGCTGACCTCCTTTATGGAACAGCACAATTTGTTTGATCCACTTCAGTCTGGTTTTCGTAAATTACACTCCACTGAAACAGCTCTTATCAAAGTTTCTAGTGATGTAATGATGGCAGCCGATTCCCAACGCTACACAGTTCTTGTACTTCTGGATTTGTCCTCTGCCTTTGACACTGTGGATCATAATATACTTATTGACCGGCTTCAAAATGAGATAGGGCTTTCTGGGTCTGTCCTCCAGTGGTTCTCCTCATATGTCCATGGCAGAACTTTTAACGTTGCTTTAAACAATGTACAGTCAGATGTGACTAATCTGTCCTGCGGAGTGGCACAGGGATCAGTTTTGGGTCCGATTTTGTTTTTATTGTACATTTTGCCACTTGGTAAAATTATTAATCACTTCGAGGATGTATCCTACCATTTCTATGCCGATGACGTCCAGTTGTACTGTTCTTTTAATGACTCTGAGTTCCAGCGCTTGTCATCATTTTTGGAGTGTGTGTCCTCCATTAAAGACTGGCTGGCCACTAACTACTTACAGTTAAATTCCAACAAAACTGAAACGCTCATCTTTGCTCCAGACCATAAGATCCCGCTGATCAAACAGCACCTTGGCTCTCTTGGCTCCTCCGTCAAATCCAGCCTCAGAAACCTAGGGGTTGTGTTTTGACCAGGCCATGTCTATGGAGACACACTCCAAACAGCTCGTCCGTAACTGCTTTTATCACCTTAGGAACATTGCAAAAATCCGCAATATGTTGTCAAAGAATGATCTGGAAATGATCATTCACGCTTTTATTTCAACAAGACTTGACTATTGCAACTCTGTTTTTACCTGCTTGAATAAGTCTGCACTCAATCAACTTCAAATTGTTCAAAATTCTGCTGCTAGACTTTTAACAGGTGCCCCTCGTAGGTCCCATATCACTCCTGTTCTGTCTGTTCTTCATTGGCTCCCAGTCAAATTCAGGATTGATTTTAAGATCTTAGTGCTGACCTTCAGAGCCTTAAATGGTCAGGCCCCCCAGTACATCCTGAACCTTTTGAGCCTGTACTCCTCTGGCCGTTCTCTCCGGTCCTCTGGCCAGAACCTGCTTGTGGTCCCCAAAACCCATTATAAGACTCGAGGGGACCGGTCTTTTCAGTCTGTTGCCCCCAGACTGTGGAACGCCCTGCCCCTGTCCCTACGTCTGGTCGACTCTGCGGACTCTTTCAAAAAAGGCTTGAAGACTTATTTATTTAAGAAAGCTTTTAGTTGATTGGGTTCTCACTGATGTCACTTTTAAGTACATAAAATGTGTAATGTGTGTAAGTGTATTTTATATTGTTTTGTATTTGCCCACTGTCCTGTACAGCACTTTGTGATTTTTATCTGTGAAAAGCGCTTTATAAATAAACTTTACTTACTACTTACTTACTTACTTACTCTCTCTCTTGGTACTGATTCTCTGACTCTCTCTCTGGTCTCTCTCTTGGTACTGATACTCTGACTCTCTCTCTGGTCTCTTTGGTCTCTCTCTGGTCTCTCTCTTGGTACTGATACTCTGACTCTCTCTCTGGTCTCTCTCTGGTCTCTCTCTTGGTACTGATACTCTGACTCTCTCTTGGTACTGATACTCTGACTCTCTCTCGGGTCTCTGTCTTGGTACTGATACTCTGACTCTCTCTCTGGTCTCTCTTTTGGTACTGATACTCTGACTCTCTCTCTGGTCTCTCTCTTGGTACTGATACTCTGACTCTCTCTTGGTACTGATACTCTGACTCTCTCTCTGGTCTTTCTCTTGGTACTGATACTCTGACTCTCTCTCTGGTCTCTCTCTTGGTACTGATACTCTGACTCTCTCTCTGGTCTCTCTCTGGTCTCTCTCTTGGTACTGATACTCTGACTCTCTCTGGTCTCAGGTTGGAGGCGGCCCTGCAGCACTGGTATGTTACTGGTCTTGAACAGCAGGGGGCAGTACCGTCCCTGGTAACGTCTATGGGAGAGTCCAGCTCCTCTCTGCTCACTGTGCTGTACGAGACACACCCAGAGGAGAGCACCGCGGACCAGCTCCTGAGGGTCCAGTCGCAGCCGGTGGAGATCTCCTACGACGCCGTGAGACCCACAACCTTTTCTATCTTTAGGACAGTATCTCACTCTCAATTAAAGCTCGGGTACGTACATTTCAGATCTTATAGATACAAAAGGTAAACAACAGTAATTAAAACAGTTTCCCCGCGTCTCTCTTTGGTCTCCTTTTCTGGTCCCTCCCTCTGTTCTCACTCTAATCCCTCTCTGCCTGGTCTCTCTCTCTGTTCTCACTCTAATCCCTCTCTGCCTGGTCTCTCTCTCTGTTCTCACTCTAATCCCTCTCTGTCTGGTCTCTCTGGTCTCACTCTAATTCCTCTCTGTCTGGTCTCTCTCTCTGTTCTCATTCTAATCCCTCTCTGTCTGGTCTCTCTCTGTTCTCACTCTAATCCCTCTCTGTCTGGTCCCTCTCTCTGTTCTCACTCTAATCCCTCTCTGTCTGGTCCCTCTCTCTGTTCTCACTCTAATCTCTCTCTGTCTGGTCTCTCTCTCTGGTCTCACTCTAATTCCTCTCTGTCTGGTCTCTCTCTCTGTTCTCACTCTAATCCCTCTCTGTCTGGTCTCTCTCTGTTCTCACTCTAATCCCTCTCTGTCTGGTCTCCTTCTGTTCTCACTCTAATTCCTCTCTGTCTGGTCTCTCTCTCTGTTCTCACTCTAATCCCTCTCTGTCTGGTCCCTCTCTCTGTTCTCACTCTAATCCCTCTCTGTCTGGTCTCTCTCTGTTCTCACTCTAATCCCTCTCTGTCTGGTCTCCCTCTGTTCTCACTCTAATCCCTCTCTGTCTGGTCTCTCTCTCTGTTCTCACTCTAATCCCTCTCTGTCTGGTCTCTCTCTCTGTTCTCACTCTAATCCCTCTCTGTCTGGTCTCCTTCTGTTCTCACTCTAATCCCTCTCTGTCTGGTCCCTCCCTCTGTTCTCACTCTAATCTCTCTCTGTCTGGTCCCTCCCTCTGTTCTCACTCTAATCCCTCTCTGTCTGGTCTCTCTCTCTGTTCTCACTCTAATCCCTCTCTGTCTGGTCTCTCTCTCTATTCTCACTCTAATCCCTCTCTGTCTGGTCTCTCTCTCTGTTCTCACTCTAATCTCTCTCTGCCTGGTCTCTCTCTCTGTTCTCACTCTAATCCCTCTCTGTCTGGTCTCTCTCTCTGTTCTCACTCTAATCCCTCTCTGTCTGGTCTCTCTCTCTGTTCTCACTCTAATCCCTCTCTGTCTGGTCTCTCTCTCTATTCTCACTCTAATCCCTCTCTCTCTGGTCTCTCTCTTTGGTCTCTCTAATCCCTCTCTGTCCGGTCTCTCTCTCTAATACCTCTCTCTCTGTTCTCTTTCTTTAGTCTCTCTCTCTGTTCTCTTTCTCTAGTCTCTCTCTCCTTGCGTCAGACCGCACTAGTTTCATGCATTTTTGGTCACATTTTGACACCGAAAAGTGAAAGTCAGCTCTCAGCCCAAAGAGTCAAATACTGACTCACAGGGATCTTTCTGTCACAGCATGTTGTGTTGGACTCTTTCTATTGGACAAACTCCATGTGTTATTTATGAGACTAAAGTTACTTACCCCAGCTTTAAAAAGACCAAGAGAAAAACTAAAGCTGTTAGATCAGTCCTTTCCTTTGTTGCAGAATGTGAGATCACTGTTTCAATAGAAAACAGACTTTTGTTTGAAGTTTCAATACATTGTTTTGACTCTCTCCTCCTCCTCTCTCTCCTCTCATCTCACTCCTCTCTCTCCTCTCCTCTCTCCCCTCCTCTCCTCTCACTCCTCTCTCTCCTCTCCTCTCACTCCTCTCTCGCCTCCTCTCTCTCCTCTCTCCCCTCCTCTCTCCTCTCCTCTCACTCCTCTCTCTCCTCCCTCTCCTCCTCTCTCTCCTCCTCTCTCCCCTCTCTCCTCTCCCCCCCTCACAGCTGACTGTGAACAGCATCGCAGACTTCTTTAAGACGGGTAAAGGAGTGGATCTGGAGGTTCTGACTTCTGCCACTTTGTCCAAACTGGAGGAGTTTAAGGAGAAGACTGCAGCAGGTTGGATCTCACACTCTCTCACTCTCACACTCTCATACTCTCACACTCTCATACTCTCACACTCTCACTCTCTCACACTCTCACTCTCTCACACTCTCATACTCTCACACTCTCATACTCTCACACTCTCATACTCTCATACTCTCACACTCTCACACTCTCACTCTCTCACACTCTCACTCCCTCACACTCTCACTCTCTCACTCTCTCACACTCCCACCCTTTCACTCTCTCACACTCTCACTCTCTCACACTCTCATACTCTCACTCTCTCACACTCTCACTCTCTCATACTCTCACTCTCTCACACTCTCACTCTCTCATACTCTCACACTCTCACACTCTCATACTCATACTCTCACACTCTCACACTCTCATACTCACATTCTCACACTCTCACACTCTCATACTCTCATAGTCTCGCACTCTTGTACTCTCGTACTCTCTCACACTCTCACTCTCTCACTCTCTCACTCTCACACTCTCACACTCTCACACTTTTACTCCCTCACACTCTCACTCTCTCACTCTCTCACACTCTCACCCTCTCACTCTCTCACTCTCTCACTCTCTCACTCTCTCTCACTCTCATACTATCACTCTCTCATACTCTCACTCTCTCTCACTCACTCTCACTCTCTTATACTCTCTCTCACACTCTCTCATACTCTCACTCTCTCATACTCTCACACTCTCACTCTCTTTCACACACTCTCATACTCTCACTCTCTCTCTCTCACTCTTTCATTCTAACACTCTCTCACACTCTTACGCTCACACACTTTCACACTCACTCACTCTCTTGCACTCTCCCACTGGTCTCTCTCACTCTATCACTCTCTCACACACACTCACTCTCTTGCACTCTCCCACTGGTCTCTCTCACACTCTCACTCTCTCTCACACACTCTCACTCTCTCACACTTTCCCACAGGTCTCTCTCACATCATCGAGACCCGGAAGGTGCTGGACCTGAAGATCGACCTGAAACCCTCCTATTTACTGCTGCCCAAGTCCGGACACTACAGCGACTCCTCGGACCTCATCATCGTGGACTTCGGAAGCTTCAAGGTTCCATTTGACACTTATTAATCTATAAATGTGTGTTCCAACCCCCCTCGGCCTTTTAACACCGATATTTTTGTCATCTGAATATGGAATATGAAAATTAAAAAATAATAACCAAAAATAGCAAACATTTTAGTCACAATAACTGTTCTGAAATGTTACTGTGAGAGTCCATGAGCGTTGGGACATGTGTGGGTGTGTTCTTTGTACAGTTGGACAGTGTGGACCAGAGCCTCCTCAGCCCCTCCCCCTCCTCGTCTCTGGAGGAGATCATGGACCGAGCCTACGAGAGGTTTACGGTCCAGCTCCGCAAAGTCCAAGTTCTCTACAGCAAGTCCGGTCAGTCACCACACTGGGTCCAGAGACCGGGGATGGAGACTGGAGAGGGACCAGAGAGAGACCAGAGAGAGACCAGAGAGAGACCAGAGAGAGACCGGAGAGAGACCAGAGAGAGACCAGAGAGAGACCAGAGAGAGACCAGAGAGAGACCAGAGAGAGACCAGAGAGAGACCAGAGAGAGACCAGAGAGAGACCAGAGAGAGACCAGAGAGAGACCAGAGAGAGACCAGAGAGAGACCAGAGAGGGAGACCGGAGAGGGAGACCGGAGAGGGAGACCGGAGAGGGAGACCGGAGAGGGAGACCGGAGAGGGAGACCGGAGAGGGAGACCGGAGAGGGAGACCGGAGAGGGAGACCGGAGAGGGAGACCGAGACTAGAGGGAGAGACTGGGGAGTGAGAGAGACTAGAGTGAGTCATGAAGACATTATGATTAAACATTGGTTTGAAAGTGTTTTAGAGAAACCCTAAAGTTGCAGATGTATTGACTTTGTTTCTCAGCATCACAAATGTTTTCAGGTGTTTCCTTGTTTGATGAAGATGAAGATGGTTTGTGTTTTGATGTGGACAGGAGAGGCCTGGAGAGCGGCTCGTCAGCAGAGCTCCTCTGTTCAGCACATCCTGCAGCCCATGGACATCCGTCTGCAACTGGGCAAGAGCATGGTGGACAATGACGCCCGCATGCCCAAGTATGAGAGAGAGAGAGAGTAGAGAGAGAGTAGAGAGAGAGTAGAGAGAGAGACCAGAGAGTAGAGAGAGAGTAGAGAGAGAGTAGAGAGAGAGTAGAGAGAGAGTAGAGAGAGAGTAGAGAGAGAGTGGAGAGAGAGTGGAGAGAGAGTGGAGAGAGAGTGGAGAGAGAGTGGAGAGAGAGTGGAGAGAGTGGAGAGAGAGTGGAGAGAGAGTGGAGAGAGAGTGGAGAGAGAGTGGAGAGAGAGTGGAGAGAGAGTGGAGAGAGAGTGGAGAGAGAGTGGAGAGAGAGCGGAGAGAGAGAGCGGAGAGAGAGAGCGGAGAGAGAGAGCGGAGAGAGAGTGGAGAGAGAGCGCGGAGAGAGCGCGGAGAGAGCGCGGAGGGAGTGAGCGGAGAGAGTGAGCGGAGAGAGTGAGCGGAGAGAGAGAGCGGAGAGAGTGAGCGGAGAGAGAGCCAGAGAGAAAGAGAGCCAGAGAGAGCCAGAGAGAAAGAGAGCCAGAGAGAGCCAGAGAGACAGAGAGAGCCAGAGAGAGACAGAGAGCCAAAGAGAGACAGAGAGAGAGTTAGATACAGTATTTGTTTTCTTTTAGCCTCTGAAGCTGCACAGTCCCTGTCAAGATCTTGATCCTTTTGTTCAGGTTTAAGATTTCTGGAGAACTTCCTCTGCTCCACGTGAAGATCTCAGACCTGAAGATCCAGAGTGTGTTCCAGCTCATCGACAGCATCCCTCTGCCAACCCCTGGCTCAGCTGCCTCCTCCCCCACAGAGAAGGTCCTCCTCACCCACAGAACCACCCATCACTCTGGTCTCTATCTGGTCTCTCCCCCACAGAGAAGGTCCACCTCCCCCACAGAACCACCCATCACTCTGGTCTCTATCTGGTCTCTCCCCCACAGAGAAGGTCCACCTCCCCCACAGAACCACCCATCACTCTGGTCTCTATCTGGTCTCCCCCACAGAGAAGGTCCACCTCCCCCACAGAACCACCCATCACTCTGGTCTCTATCTGGTCTCTCCCCCACAGAGAAGGTCCACCTCACCCACAGAACCACCCATCACTCTAGTCTCTCTGGTCTCGCCCCCCTCACCCACAGAAAAGGTCCTCCTCACCCACAGAACCACCCATCACTCTAGTCTCTCTGGTCTCGCCCCCCTCACCCACAGAAAAGGTCCCTCCTCACCCACAGAACCACCCATCACTCTAGTCTCTCTGGTCTCTCCCCCACAGAGAAGGTTCTCTTCACCCACTGAACCACCCATCACTCTGGTCTCTCTCTCTCTCTCACTCTCACTCTCACTCTCACTCTCACTCTCACTCTCACTCTCTTTCTCTCACAGAGAAGGTCCTCCTCCTCCACACCATGTTCACAGATGGACAGTGTAGCCGCAGCTGCCTGTGTGACATCACCAGTGTTAGCCATTATCTGAAAGTGGTCGATTTGAACATAAGCTGGATCCGTTTTCCTTATATGGGCATCTCTTCTGCAGTTCCTTTGTGCTGTAACAAGGACAGACGTGTTGCTAAGTGTCCTGGCCTAGTGCCCTGATGTTCTACAGACCCAATGTTCTAGAGCCCTGATGTTCTGCAGCCCTGATGTTCTACAGACCCGATGTTCTAGAGCCCTTATATTCTAGAGCCCTGATGTTCTAGAGCCCTGATGTTCTACAGACCCAATGTTCTAGAGCCCTTATATTCTAGAGCCCTTATGTTCTCGAGCCCTGATGTTCTAGAGCCCTGATGTTCTACAGACCTTATATTCTAGAGCCCTGATGTTCCGGAGCCCTGATGTTCCGGAGCTCTGATGTTCCGGAGCCCTGATGTTCCGTGGCCCTGATGTTCATGTTCCGGAGCCCTGATGTTCCAGAGCCCTGATGTTCTAGAGCCCTGATGTTCCGGAGCCCTGATGTTCCGGAGCCCTGATGTTCCGAAGCCCCGATGTTCTAGAGCCCTGATGTTCTAGAGCCCCGATGTTCTAGAGCCCCGATGTGCTAGAGCCCCGATGTGCTAGAGCCCCGATGTGCTAGAGCCCCGATGTTCTAGAGCCCCGATGTTCTGGAGCCCTGATGTTCCGGAGCCTTGATGTTCTACAGACCCAATGTTCTGGAGCACTGATATTTTAGAGCCCCGATGTTTTAGAGCCCTGATGGCCTAGAGCCGGCAGGGTGGGCATGGTAGAAAACCCCTTGCAGTAGCTCCCTCACCCTCAGCTCTCTGTGATCCTGGTGTTTATGGTAGAAACCCCCCTGCTGTAGCTCTCTCACCCTCAGCTCCTGGTGACAGCTCTCCTCTTATGTTCAGGTCCCATCTCTGGCAGAGTCTAGACCCAAAGCCCTGAACCTCCAGAGTGCTCTCCTTCCGGCCTTAGAAACAGGTAAGACCTCAGCACATGACCTTTCTGGTCTCTCTCTGGTCTCTCTCTCTAGTCTCTCTCTCTGGTCTCTCTCTCCGGTCTCTCTCTCTCTGGTCTCTCTCTCCGGTCTCTCTCTCTCTGGTCTCTCTGGTTGCTCTCTGGTCTCTCGCTCTCTGGTTGCTCTCTGGTCTCTCTCTGGTCTCTCTCTGGTTTCTTCCTGGTTTCTCTCTGGTCTCTCTCTGGTCTCTCTCTCGCTGGTCTCTCTCTCTGTGGTCTCTCTCTCTGGTCTCTCTCTGGTCTCTCTCTGGTCTCTCTCTGGTCTCTCTCTGGTCTCCCTCTGGTCTCCCTCTGGTCTCTCTCTCTGGTCTCTCTCTCTGGTCTCTCTCTGGTCTCTCTCTGGTCTCCCTCTGGTCTCTCTCTCTGGTCTCTCTCTCTGGTCTCTCTCTGGTCTCTCTCTGGTCTCTCTCTGGTCTCTCTCTCTGGTCTCCCTCTGGTCTCTCTCTCTGGTCTCTCTCTCTGGTCTCTCTCTGGTCTCTCTCTGGTCTCCCTCTGGTCTCTCTCTCTGGTCTCTCTCTGGTCTCTCTCTGGTCTCTCTCTCTCTGGTCTCTCTCTCTGGTCTCTCTCTGGTCTCTCTCTGGTCTCTCTCTGGTCTCTCTCTGGTCTCTTGTATCTGTAATAGTCCTGTCCCCTCTTTATAAAAACCATGTGCCGTTGTTAAAATCCTCCTCTTCCGTTTCCCTCCAGACTCTGAGGAGGAGGTCAGTGAGAAGTTTGTGGAGGAGGAGCAGGTGCACCTCCTGGAGGAGCTCACGGAGGTGCAGTTCAAGTTCGAAGTCAAAGAGGTGAGTTTTCAGCCTCGCTTCACATCTCTGCTGCTGTACGTCCCACAGTGGACAGTACAGAACAGTTACAGAACAGTTACAGAACAGTTACAGAACAGTTACAGAACAGTTACAGAACAGTTACAGAACAGTTACAGAACAGTTACAGAAGAGCACACACCGCAAGAGAAAGGAATAACTATATTATATGAAAACACTAGAATCTCTGGCTCTAGCATCAAAGACACAAGTATAAAATCTCTACATTTAGCAAAATAAGAAGCACATTTAGTGTTTTCTAGTGTAAAAATAAATAATAATTAATAAAATAACTCCTCCGGTTTCGTGCAGGTGCTCCTGGAGCTGACTCAGGCCGACCAGCAGAGGACCGTCCTGTTACTGAGTGTGTTCCAGCTCGGAGCCGAGGGCCGGAAACGAACCTATGACCTCAGCACCACTGCATACTTACACAGGGTCTCACTGGACTACTGCGATGTACCAGGTAGGTCCAGACCAGAGGGACCATAGAGGAACTGTAGCTGGTCTCTCTCTGGTCTCTCACTCTGGTCTCTTTCGCTCTGTGTTTCTCTCACTCTGATCTCTCTTCTCTCTGGTCTCTGTCTTCTCTCTCTCCGTCTCTCTCACTCTGGTCTCTCTTCTCTCTGCAGTTGGGAGAAAGCCTCTCCATCTCATGAGATCGTCAGAACAACACGGCTGTAACCTGCTCAAAGTGGACTACACTCGTGTAAGCAGCCAAAAGGTTAAAGGTTAAAAGGTTTTGTCTTGAGCTGATCCTGTTTGATGTCTCTCTGCTGCAGGCCGACCCCAGCGGGCCCAACTTCAGCACACAGTTTGGAAACACCGAGCAGACCCTGAAGGTGAGAAACCCCCCCCAGTCCTGACATGAGCAGGTCAGGAGACCAGCATTAGACTAGGTGGATGGGGAGAAGACAGAGGGGGGAGAAAGAACAGGAGGGAGAGGAGAAGGGCCTCAGAGAAGAGAAGGGAGAGGAGAGGGGGAGAGGAGTGATACAAAGGGGAGAGGAGTGAGACGAGGGAGGGGAGTGAGACAAAGGGGAGGGGTGAGACAACAGGGGAGTGAGACAAGGGAGGGAGAGAGACAAAGGGGAGGGGGGAGGGGTGAGGGAGGGGAGTGAGACGAGGGAGAGGAGTAAGGTGAGGGAGAGGGGTGAGACGAGGGAGAGCAGTGAGACGGGGTGAGGCGGTCAGGACTAAGTCTTGCGTGACGTCTCTGTCTCAGGTGGAGTTCTCGGCCCTGGACTTCCTGCTTCACACCAAAGCTCTTCTTTCCACCGTTAACTTCCTGCACAGCTCCACTCCTCCATCACTCAGGGCCTCACAGGGACCAGGAGCCAAGAGACCAGCAGACAGAAGCACACCAGGCAAACCAGGTGAGACCAGGGTGGGACCAGAGGGAGAGAGAGAGTGAGATGAGAGAGGGAGGGAGAAACCAGGGAGAGAGGGAGAGATAGAGAGTGGGACCAGAGAGAGAGGAAGAGAGAGACCAGTAGACACATGCACACTGGGGAGACCAGAGTGGGAGACGGACCAGAGTGGGAGACGGACCAGAGTGGGAGACGGACCAGAGTGGGAGACGGACCAGAGTGGGAGACGGACCAGAGTGGGAGACGGACCAGAGTGGGAGACGGACCAGAGTGGGAGACGGACCAGAGTGGGAGACGGACCAGAGTGGGAGACGGACCAGAGTGGGAGACGGACCAGAGTGGGAGACGGACCAGAGTGGGAGACGGACCAGGGTGGGAGACGGACCAGGGTGGGAGACGGACCAGGGGGGGAGACGGACCAGGGTGGGAGACGGACCAGGGTGGGAGACGGACCAGGGTGGGAGACGGACCAGGGTGGGAGACGGACCAGGGTGGGAGACGGACCAGGGTGGGAGACGGACCAGGGTGGGAGACGGACCAGGGTGGGAGACGGACCAGGGTGGGAGACGGACCAGGGTGGGAGACGGACCAGGGTGGGAGACGGACCAGGGTGGGAGACGGACCAGGGTGGGAGACGGACCAGGGTGGGAGACGGACCAGGGTGAGCCCTGTAGTCCAGCAGAAGCACTCACCTGGTTTTCCACAGTGTCCAGAGGAGCCAAAGATACCGACGTCTTCAGCTTTAAAGTCTTTGCGGTGTTGGAGTGTTTCCATGTGGAGGTGTGTGACGACTGCAGTAGCATCGCAGACATCAGAGTCCAAGGTACGACTGTGGAATCCTCTTTACTGTGTGTTCATGTGACATCACTCTGTAGTTTCACAGTGTGGCGCAGCTGTATGGGCTGTCCTGGTAACCATGGTAACTATGGTATATTATCAAAAGTCAGAATCTGGTTTAGTCTTTGTAATTCTGAGTGATCCAAATGAAGAAAAAAACTATCACAAAGCTCCACATCTTCTTTGTCAACACATCAACTATGGTCTCATTTTTTTCCTATCTGGTATCTCTGGTCTCTCTCTGGTCTCTCTCTCTGGTCTCTCTCTCTGGTCTCTCTCTCTGGTCTCTCTCTCTCGGTCTCTCTCTCTGGTCTCTCTTTTGCAGGTATCGATGCCTCAGTCCTGGTTCACTCAAAGGAGACAGTGGTGAACGCTCGCCTCAAAGACATCGTAGTCACTGACGTCAGCCCCAACACCATCCACAGAAAGGTCAATGTGGACTGAGAGATTCACCGATTTAGTCCTGTCCTCTCCCCTCCCCTCCTATCCTCTCCTCTCTCCCCTCTCTCCCCTCTCTCTCTCTCTTCTCCCTCCTCTCTCTCTCACTGTATGTCTCTCCCTCCTTCAGGCGGTCTCCATCATGGGGGAGGAGGTGTTCAGCTTCAGTCTCTCCTTGTTCCCGGAGGAGACGCAGGCTGAAGGCTACAGCGACATGTCGAAGGTGGACGGGAAAGTCACGCTGCGTTTGGGCTGCATCCAGATCATCTACCTGCACAAGTTCCTCATGTCTCTGCTGGTCAGACTCACACCTCACATCTATCTATGAGGGAGGAGGGGGGAGGAGGGAGAGGCCGGAGGGAGAGGCCGGAGGGAGAGGCCGGAGGGAGAGGCCGGAGGGAGACCAGAGGGAGACCAGAGAGAGAGAGAGAGAGAGAAAGAGAAAGAGGGAGACCGGAGGGAGACCGGAGGGGCAGAGACCGGAGAGTGGGAAAGAGTGGGAGAGTGGGAGAGACCGGAGAGTGGGAGAGACCGGAGAGTGGGAGAGACCGGAGAGTGGGAGAGACCGGAGAGTGGGAGAGACCGGAGAGTGGGAGAGACCGGAGAGTGGGAGAGACCGGAGAGTGGGAGAGACCGGAGAGTGGGAGAGACCGGAGAGTGGGAGAGACCGGAGAGTGGGAGAGACCGGGGAGTGGGAGAGACCAGAAAACTCCTGATTGGTCAGTTATAACGACAATAGCAGGTTCACAGAGGTCCTTTTCCAGTCTGTAATAAACTGTTTGTCGCATGCTCTTACTCTGTCGCTCGTCTTCTGTTCTTTCAGGCTTCTTTTAGCGCTCAGTGTGAGTCCGCTGACGAGGTACAGCATGCAGCTACCACTTTACAGCACTTTACAGCACTTTACTGCATCGTGCAATGCTTTACTGCACCTCAAGCCTGTTTCAAAGTCCTGAAGGAACCCGTGTCGCTGCACTATCTGCTAGCCTCCAAACCGCGTGTTAGCATTTCATATTGTAGGCATCGAACGGCATGGTCCATGTTGTAGCTGCTTCTCTTTGTCATTCACACACTCCTGGTTCTGGCCCTCAACCACCTGCCTAGTCACTCTCAATCTCTTCATCGCTGGTATCTCTTTCTGGTCTCTTGCCGTTCTCTCTGGTCTTTCTCTGGTCTCTCTCAGGTATTTCTCTGGTCTTTCTCCCTGGTCTCTCTCTCTGGTCTCTCTCTCTCTCTGGTGTCTCTGGTCTTTCTCCCTGGTCTCTCTTCCTGGTCTCTCTCTCTGGTCTCTCTCCCTGGTCTCTCTCTCTCAGGTCTCCTTCTGTTCTCTCTCTGGTCTCTCCTCTCTCCTGTCTCTCTCCCTCTCTGGTTTAGTGCGATGTAGTATTTTACAGTGTATGCTCGGCTTTTCACAGATGCAGCAGCTCTCAGACTTACATATCTGCGAAGTCCAGGTGGTTAGAAAAGTGTATAAAATGTGGCGATAAACCCGGGACTACTGTACACTGCAGTAGATTTTTTCGCTCGGATAGTGCAGCGACACTTTACTTTCACTTTCACTTTCATCTGGATCTGAGACTGAGCCACGAGCTTCTCCTGAATGTGCATTATGGACCTGTTTCCAGAGTCCTTAGCCTGTTCCCAAACCACAGCCCACGGACCATCAGTGCTGTGCTCTCTCCATCACGGCGCCCTCTGTCTGTGTGCAGCTGTTACTACATCAGCCTCTGCTTTTACTCCATCTGTATTTACTAATGATCCGATTCTGTTTCTGGTTCTGAGACTCCCACACGACCGCCAGAGGAGCAGGAGACAAAAAGTTTACACTCAGGCAGAAATGCCATTTTCTTAGCAAAATTTCTGGAAATATGAACAAAAAAGTGTTTTTATTTTCAAATTATAACAAGGTGATGAACTCCTTCTCATCCGGATCAGAAGAATACATTTTGTGGTACCCTCTCTGCTCTCTCTCCTTTTGGTCTCTCTGGTCTCTCTCTCTGGGCTCGCTTTTTGGTCTCTCTCTGGTTTCTCTCTCTCTCTTTGGTCTCTCTCTTTGGTGTCTCTCTGGTGTCTCTCTCTCTCTTTGGTCTCTCTCTGGTCTCTCTCTCTGGGCTCGTTTTTTGGTCTCTCTCTGGTCTCTCTCTCTCTCTTTGGTGTCTCTCTGGTGTCTCTCTCTCTCTTTGGTGTCTCTCTAGTCTTTCTGTCTGATCTATCTGGTCTATCACTGGTCTCTCTCTTTTGGTCTCACTCTGGTCTCTCTTTGGTCTCTCTGTTTGGTCTCGCTCTGGTCTCTCTCTGGTCTCTCTTTGGTCTCTCTAGTCTTTCTTTGTCTCTCACTGGTCTTGCTCTCTGGTCCCGCTCTCTCTGGTCTCGCTCTCTCTGATGGTAAAGCTGCCCATTCTTCTTGGCAAAAACCCTCCAGTTCTTATAAATTCCTGGGCCGCCTTCCATGAACTCTACTACTACTCTCCTGAGATCCCCCCAGAGCGGCTCAGTGATGTCACCAGTGATGTCATAATTTACATAAAGTTTGGCCTCACTTAAACGCTAGCAGTGAGTTTGTAATTTCTTCATAATCTTTCCTATAGTTATGTATTTTAGGCCCTGGGGGTTTGTGTTCCACTTACAACAGCGCCCTCTGGTGGTCAGCAGGGATGAACCAGAACAACTCTAGGACTGTGTGGAGTCTGAGTTTAAAAGTAGTCAATAAAGAGTATTTACCTGAAGCCAATGGCAGCAAAACTCAAACCGGTTTCTCATAGCAACCACATAGCAACCAAAGAGCCAATCAGAGCGGCACTGGTCTGTTTCCACTCCCGCTGTTTACGGCTAAAACCAAATTTGGGAATGAGATTCTCGGTTGTATAAAAATGAAACCTCCATAACCACATAAGGCCAATTACTTTATTTTAAACTTGATTTTGACCCAGATTTTAATTCATAATCTCATGATGTAACAGTCATTTCTCTTGTGTTTGAGTGCCTCTCTCCACCCGACTCTAGCTTCACATCACCCCCACATGGTATCTGTTGATCCAATGAGAGCTCTCTGACCCTGAATGTGTTTTGGATCCTCTCTGACGTGTGTTTTCCTTCTGCAGATGTTCGTAGATAATTTCCAGACGGCTAAAGCGGCGCTGAGCCAGGCCACAGTGCAGGCCGCGGAGAAGGCCGCCTCCAGCGTGAGGGACTTTGCTCAGAAGAGTTTCCGTTTGTCCATGGACATCAGGCTGAAGGCTCCGCTCATCATCATCCCACAAGACTCCAACTCCCATGATGCACTGGTGGTGGACCTGGGCCTCATCACCGTGGGCAACAGCTTCTCCCTGCAGCAGGTGGACGGATGCCCTCTGCCCGCAGTGGTGGAGAGGATGGAGGTCCAGCTGAGCCAACTCAAGCTGTCCAGGTCAGTCCTGTAGACCCAGGACTGAGGCTGTAGACCCAGGACTGAGGCTCTAGGTGTCAAATCAGTTCCAGAAAGGGCCAGTGTGTCTGTAGGATTTAGTTTCAACCTAAGCACGAGCACAGCAGACTCCAACCATTTCCTCAAATTTAACTAAAACCTGCAGGCACAGCGGCCTTTGAGGACCGGCCTTTGAGGACCGGCCTTTGAGGACCGGCCTTTGAGGACCGGCCTTTGAGGACCGGCCTTTGAGGACCGGCCTTTGAGGACCGGCCTTTGAGGACCGGCCTTTGAGGACCGGCCTTTGAGGACCGTCTTTCACTTCTTGATCACTTGTTCTTTCACAGACTGACTCAGAAACAGACGGTCTCTGGTGTGGAGATGCTTCAGCCAATCAGCTTTGAGCTGCTGGTCACCAGAAACCTCTGCTCTTCATGGTACCACAAGATCCCAGCAGTCCAGGTCCAAGGCGTCCTGCACTCACTCACAGTAAGAGGGTCCCTGTCTGTTTTCTGTCATCATATACGCCATACTCTGTGTTCATGTGACATCAGCTCCAATGGTGACGGTGTTATATCAGAGCTAATTTCTCTCTAATTCCTGGAACTGAAACTGACATGAAACAAAAACTGTTACATCTCGCTTGTCAGCACATACTCACCATGATCTCATTTAGAAGTGGTGACTGCGGGACTGCAGTCTCACAGATAAGGGGCCGGGCGATATAGAGAAAACATATTTATCTTGATAAATACTGTATATCAAGATATAGAAAAATATAAATCTATGTTTTTTAGGATAAATAACGCTCCAAAAACTACTGCAAAGACAAAAATGCCAATATCCAAAGAGTCTTTAGTGAACCCCAGAGAGGGCGAGAGACCGGAGAGCACAATACTACAGTTTGTTGGATCGGCACCTCCCCTTTAACTGTCCACCCTACAACATGGACTATAACTATCAGTGCCATGTTGCTCCAGGTCCTAATGTGAAAAAGTATATATACTGTAAGGATATATATAAGTAATGAAAAAGTAATGAGGATGTTGTGTCTGTGGCAGATGAGTCTGGGGGAGGACGACCTGGCTCTGCTCACCAAGATCCTGGTCCACAACATCGGAGAAGGCAGCAGCCTGGAGCGGAATCTGGGCCCTGGTAAGAGAGAGAGAGAGAGCCCAGGGGGAGAGAGCCCTGAGAGAGAGATATGAGAGAAAGAGATATGAGAGAGAGAGCCCTGAGAGAGAGAGAGAGAGAGAGAGCCCTGAGAGAGAGATATGAGAGAAAGAGATATGAGAGAGAGAGAGCCCTGAGAGAGGGAGAGCCCTTAGAGAGAGATCTGAGAGAGGGAGAGCCCTGAGAGAGGGAGAGCCCTGAGAGAGGGAGAGACCTTAGAGAGAGATCTGAGAGAGGGAGAGCCCTGAGAGAGGGAGAGCCCTGAGAGAGGGAGAGCCCTGAGAGCCCTGGGAGAGAGCCCTAGGAGAGAGAGCCCTGAGAGAGAAAACCCTGAGAGAGAGCCCTGAGAGAGAGAGCCCTGAGAGAGAGCCCTGAGAGAGAGAGCCCTGAGAGAGAGAGCCCTGAGAGAGAGAGCCCTGAGAGAGAGAGCCCTGAGAGAGAGAGCCCTGAGAGAGAGAGCCCTGAGAGAGAGAGCCCTGAGAGAGAGAGCCCTGAGAGAGAGAGCCCTGAGAGAGAGAGCCCTGAGAGAGAGAGCCCTGAGAGAGAGAGCCCTGAGAGAGAGAGAGCCCTGAGAGAGAGAGCCCTGAGAGAGAGAGCCCTGAGAGAGAGAGCCCTGAGAGAGAGAGCCCTGAGAGAGAGAGAGCCCTGAGAGAGAGAGAGCCCTGAGAGAGAGAGGAGCCCTGAGAGAGAGAGGAGCCCTGAGAGAGAGAGCCCTGAGAGAGAGAGCCCTGAGAGAGAGAGCCCTGAGAGAGAGCCCTGAGAGAGAAAACCCTGAGAGAGAAAACCCTGAGAGAGAAAACCCTGAGAGAGAAAACCCTGAGAGAGAAAACCCTGAGAGAGAAAACCCTGAGAGAGAAAACCCTGAGAGAGAAAACCCTGAGAGAGAAAACCCTGAGAGAGAAAACCCTGAGAGAGAGAGGACCCCTGAGAGAGAGACCCCTGAGAGAGAGACCCCTGAGAGAGAGACCCCTGAGAGAGAGACCCCTGAGAGAGAAAACCCTGAGAGAGAAAACCCTGAGAGAGAAAACCCTGAGAGAGAGACCCCTGAGAGAGAGACCCCTGAGAGAGAGACCCCTGAGAGAGAAACCCCTGAGAGAGAGACCCCTGAGAGAGAGAGCGACAGTCCAGACCATCATTTTCCTGATCTTTTCCTCTGACCTCACGACTGCTGAAGGACTTTTACTGTGATATCAAAGCTGTCGGTTCAAGGTGTGAGCTTTAGATTTGAACCCACGATGTCGTCTGTGATGGATGTGGGTCTCTCTCTTTGTCTGCAGAATGTTTATGTCTAACCACAGATTTATGTTTCCACAGAAGCAGAGAGCGAACTGTTCCCTCCGCAGCAGCAGAACTCTGCCCCCTCCTCCACTCCCTCCTCAGAGCTCACACAAACACAACAAACTGAACTGGAGAAGACCATCAACGTCCTGCTGAAGCTGGAGATCAAAGAGGTACCAGAGGGAGAGACCAGAGGGAGAGACCAGAGGGAGAGACCAGAGGGAGAGACCAGAGGGAGAGACCAGAGAGAGAGACCAGAGTGAGAGACCAGAGTGAGAGACCAGAGTGAGAGACCAGAGTGAGAGACCAGAGTGAGAGACCAGAGTGAGAGACCAGAGTGAGAGACCAGAGTGAGAGACCAGAGTGAGAGACCAGAGTGAGAGACCAGAGTGAGAGACCAGAGTGAGAGACCACATTTACACAAGTCTTGTCCTACACTAAACTAGACTGCTTGTGTGTGTAGACCCAAATGTGTGTTGTTGTGTGTCCAGGTGAAGCTGACTCTGAAGAAGCCCAAAGACCAAGTGGAGACCCCTTTCCTGGTTCTTCACGCTGCTCAACTCGGCATCGACACCAAAGTGCGGAAGTACGACACGTGTGCAACCGTGTACCTGCGGGAGATCACCGCTACCTGTCTGGAGTTCACAGGTTCGAGGAGAGAGACCAGAGAGGGGAGAGTGACCAGAGAGTGACCAGAGAGTGACCAGAGAGTGACCAGAGAGTGACCAGAGAGTGACCAGAGAGTGACCAGAGAGTGACCAGAGAGAGACCAGAGAGAGACCAGAGAGAGACCAGAGAGAGACCAGAGACTAGAGACCCGGGACTAGAGACCCGGGACTAGAGACCCGGGACTAGAGACCCTGGACTAGAGACCCTGGACTAGAGACCCGGGACTAGAGACCCTGGACTAGAGACCCTGGACTAGAGACCCGGGACTAGAGACCCTGGACTAGAGACCCTGGACTAGAGACCCGGGACTAGAGACCCTGGACTAGAGACCCTGGACTAGAGACCCTGGACTAGAGACCCGGGACTAGAGACCCGGGACTAGAGACCCGGGACTAGAGACCCGGGACTAGAGACCCGGGACTAGAGACCCGGGACTAGAGACCCGGGACTAGAGACCCGGGACTAGAGACCCGGGACTAGAGACCCGGGACTAGAGACCCGGGACTAGAGACCCGGGACTAGAGACCCGGGACTAGAGACCCGGGACTAGAGACCCGGGACTAGAGACCCGGGACTAGAGACCCGGGACTAGAGACCCGGGACTAGAGACCCCTCTCTGTAGCACGTCTGTTGCTCTCTTAACCTGTGGTTGTCTTAGACATGAATGGCGATGATCTCTGCATCATTCGGTCGTCAGCGGAGACGGGGGCGGAGCTTCTCAAAGTGCAGTATTTCAAGGTAGCGTTCTTAAAATGCAAAACTCCACTCATGTTATTCACTACGTGCTAATGCTGTGTGCTAATGCTGTGTGCTAATGCTGTGTGCTAATGCTGTGTGCTAATGCTGTGTGCTAATGCTATGTGCTAATGCTGTGTGCTAATGCTGTGTGCTAATGCTGTGTGCTAATGCTGTGTGCTAATGCTGTGTGCTAATGCTGTGTGCTAATGCTATGTGCTAATGCTGTGTGCTAATGCTATGTGCTCTGAGTTCAGGCCGATCGCAATGGACCAAACTTCAGCACAGTCTTCAAGAGCACTGAGCAGATGATCAACGTGAGTCTGATTAAATATATTTATGTATCGCCCTAAATCACAACAGCACGTCTCTGATCCACAATCAACAGATCATAGATTTCAAATGAAATGCATTAATAACCAACATATAGGAGCCATTGGTCCTTGGATCCAGGACTGAGGACTGAAGCTGTAGACCCAGGACTGAGGCTGTAGACCCAGGACTGAGGCTGTAGATGGATTCTCAGCCCATGACACGGCTTCAGCGTATGTTTTTGTGTTCTCCAGGTCCTGTTCTCCTCTCTGGACCTGGTTCTTCACACTGAGGCTCTTCTCTCCTCCATAAACTTTCTGTCAGGGGTAATGACTCCCATTTCAGCGTCTGCAGAGAAAGATACTCGGAGGAAACCAGAGGACAAGAACCAGAGCACAAAGTCCAGTCAGTGCAACATCTATGAAAATTATTATCTGCGCCTGTGGCTGCTTTACACATGTACTGAGTAATTGTGTATCTTTGTGTGTCCAGCCGCACTTGTCTCCCCAGTGGAAAACGTCATCGACCTGAAGCTGTTGGCAACGCTCACCTCTTTTCATGTTTTGGTTTGTGACCAGAAGAGCAACATCGCCGACATCCAAGTCCATGGTGCGTCCTGCTGTTTTTTACCACATACACAACATGGCCGACATTTGGGTCCCCGATGCGTCCTGCTGTTTGAAAATACATACACAACATGGCCGACATCCGGGACCACTATGCGTCCTGCTGTTTAAGAATACATACACAACATGGCCGACACAGGCTCAACTTTGCGTCTTTCTCTGTGTTTAAGCATACATACACAACATGGCCGACACCAGGCTCCACTTTGCGTCTTTCTCTTTGTTTAAGCATACATACACAACATGGCCGACACCAGGCTCCACTTTGCGTCTTTCTCTGTGTTTAACAATACATACACGATATGGCCGACACTAGGGTCAGCGGTGGGTCCTGCTCTCTCTCCCACTGACCTCCACATACT